CCTCCCCGCGCCCCCCCCCCCACCCCCGAAAACCCCCCCGGCCCCCCCTCGTCTCTCCCCCCCCCCCTCCCCCCCCTTCCCGGGGGGGGGCTTCTTCCTTTATCGCCAGAAATAGCATCTCATTTCTGCGGCCCCGGTGAAGACCGCAGTGCAGCACCGGCCCCCCCTTTCTCATCAACCCTCCCCTCACACTCCCCCTCTGAGTATCTGTTTCTGTTCCACTTATCGGCCGGCGTTCCACCCAAAACTGAGCGTTTTTTCAGGACCCCCCCTTCCCTGAGCAGGCCGGGGACGGAAAGCCCTCAGCCTGCAACTGACACACAATTATGAAATTAGCACGAGAGAGAGAGAGAGTCGGACTGGATGGTAATGGAGCCCTTGTTGACCTCTTGATATCGAGACTAGCAAGATTATATTTCCTGGGGGGGGGGGTTGGGGTGCAGCTGAGCAGCCTGGACTGGTCACCTTGTCTGTATTCCCATGCGTTTCCACAACTTGTGTCGAGGATTGCTGCTATTTCCACTTAGTTATCTGCTCTGGTCAGTTTTTCTTCACTGGTATAGTGGAAGAGAGCCAGTTTTTTAAATGTTCAGTGCCTATTTCAGACCGCTCGGGGAGGGATCCTTTCGTATGATCTGCAGTCTGTGATCCCTGCAGGATCTCCTTGAATCGACTCATTTATCAACTGACAGATGATAGATATGAGCCCTCCGCCTGGTTGAGAGTTGGAGTTGAGATTGGACACTTCATTTACGGCCCTCATTGCAACAGGATGAAGTCGAGTCTGAGCGTTTTGGTCGTTTTTTTTTCTTTTCTTTTTCTTTACAGGAACCTCCAGAGAACCTGATGCATTTTCAGTTTTTATGGGGGGAAATGGATGCAATTTCTGTCGATGCGCCTAGTTTTCTTTTTTTTTTTCCTTCTTTTTTTTTTTTCCTTATGGTGTGTGGGCTGCTTCTTGAGCAGTATAAATAGTTTCCATTCCGGGCTTTTATCATCCGTCTGATGGTGTCCTTGATGGGAGTGAGTGAATTAACAAGGCAGATATCGATCTACTGCTGTGAGTTTCCTCTGTAGCTTTTTGATGGTGATTTAGAGAGAGAGAGAGAGAGAGAGACGGTCAGGGAGAGACAGAGTGAGGGCGATCAATATTGTTTGCAGCTTTGCTGCGAGGAGAAAGGTGACAGGCTGCAAGGGAGGCATCGACGAGGCGTGGGATTGATCGGAAGCAAAATGCGACAAGTTGGCTTAACGTTAGCTTTTGGAGCAGTCGTTTGTGCTCGCCCGCTAACGGCTCCGTGCGTCTTTGTGAATGTTAATTCACTCAAATCTCACTCTAAACGTCCAATTATGACTCCATCAATGGGTTATCTGATCACTGGAAATGTTTCCGCTTTGGCTTGTTGATTGGCTTGAAAGCCATGAAAAACACCAGACAAATGAAAAGAAAAAAAAAACAGCATGGATTATTGGGTCTTTTTGAACGCTCTTTAGGGCTGCCTATTACTTGTTCCGGCCTACGCACGAAAGAAAAACCCCAGCACATTAAACACGTTAAAATCTAACCGCAGTTTCCTTAGGCGTGAACCATTAAAGCTGATTTTTGCAAGAGGAAACAGGAAAAAAATATGGCTTTGGGTAATAATATCTCTCAAGATCTATAAGTGACTAATCACAAATGTGGTTGGCATCAAGATATATGTGCGGTTCGTTTGCCAGTGTAGCCAGGGGCGAGTTCTGTCTCAGTGGATCTCCACGACGATCGCTGTTCAGACATTTGAATTAAAATGAAGGCCCGTGGAATCCAACCCGGGCTTCCAGGTGCCCGGCTGAAGCCCCGATAGGGGAAACATCCTCCGCCTCACCCGAGGAGAAGGTGCTCCCTACCTTCCTGGCGTGACCTTGCCCCCCTGGCCCTGAGTAAGGGGAGAGCTTTGACATTTGTCGCTCTTTGTCAATAGGTCAGGATGAAAGCGCAGGAGCAAACAAGCAGAGCTCTGCCATGACTTTTATCGATCTGGCTGTCTTGTGGTTCGCGTATGGATAGACGATAGGCACAGGAGGAGGACAGGCCGAGCCGCTCTCATGGCAGCGCAACAAAGGGCTCTTTTGTGAGCCGCGCACGTGTCCATCCATCTCTGGCTGTCCGCTCAACCTAGCAAAGATGGGAGGGTAATTCACTTAGCTTCCACTGTGGATGGCCATTATCTCTGGGTGGTGTGTCTGTCTGCGGGTGAGTGTGCTCCGCCGTGATACCATCATTGCACTCACTTAAGTATATATCACATCTGATTGATATCTACCGTCTGGGCATAATTGCTAAATTGCGGACCTTTTAAGGCTGTTTGGCTGGTGCTCTCTTTGCTCAGTAACGCAATTGTGCTCTAAATCGAATTTCAAGTGAAATCGATGGGTGCTCTTTTTTTTTTACGTCATAGTCGGCTGGATTTCGAATGACAGTTTCGAATGGTGATAATCGCGGACGTTTGATGCAATTTGTTACAATTCAAGTGGAAAAACAAGAAAACGTTTAGCTGGTTGTTGTATTCATATTACCCAATCATAAAAGAATAGAAAACCAACTCAGCCTGTGTATGAACCATGGAACTGGACGCCTTTCTACCACTTTTTTTAAAAACTTCAATTGATTAGTTATATTGTCATTAATCAGTGGATACATTTCCGAGAGGTTAGGGTGCCTGGATTGGGTATAAACAAGGATCCTCCACCATAATTTAAGGTAGTTTTAACGGTCAGTGGAATCCTTTCCCTTCCTTGAGCTTTGTTTTTTTAATGAAAAAATGTGGCAATAGGCCCAAGTAGGAATTAAATAATTAAATCTCGCTTCAGCCAAGATCTTCTGGGCACGGCCAAAAAAGTCTTTAAAAATTGTACATTTATTTAACTTAAAACACCATATACTTTAGTTTTACATTTCTAAAGTTCAGCCGTTGTGTAACCCAATGGCACCAGCTTTCATGTGTTTAAATTCTGATTTTATAGCCTCATCTGACAAAGATCCAATTTAAGTTGCATGAACACTTTATTAGTAGAAAATGAGGCTCCACTTTACTCAGCACCAACAGTCAAAACTCTCAGAATGCTTTTCAAATCCCCCAAACCATCTTCTTTTGCTCATTGTGGGCCAAAGTTGGACCAATGTCTTTGAGTGGGAGAGGAGGTGGACTGGAAAACAGCGCGCACCATGGAGGGTAGCAGGTGTTAGAACAAGTCTCGGGAGCTACATGTGAGCAGAAAGGATTGCGGTGCATACATATATGCACAAGGCCATTTCATAGAAATGTCCTTGATTCTTGAGTTGTGTTTGTTGCTGTTGACTGAAGCATCAAAGAAATAAAAAGCGCCCTCTCACCCCATCTTTTCTAAAGAAAAAAATTGTTTTCGTATGTGTTTTTCTGGGCGATTGTAAGTCACGTTGATCTCTGCACAGGAGGCGACCATTTTCAATTTCCCTTTTATCTACGCTGTTTTCTCGAGAAAAGGAAGAAGGAAAAAAAAGTCGAAAATTGCTGAATTACTCCTGCCCCTTTCTCATTCAGCTACCCTGGTGTTATGCCGGTCATCGCTGAACTCAATAGATAGGAGACAAAGCTGTGTGTGTCAGTTGAAAGGTTTGTGTGCAGCTGGGTAACAGCAATTTTCGAAGCACAGTCAGTGGCGGATCAGAGTGAATCAGAGACCGGAAAGGTGCTGGAGATTTGAAAAAAAGAGGAGGAAAAAAAAGGACAAAATTTCCCCTTATTTGCAGGGTATTAGATTCCACGCGTGCTCGGTTTGCATTCATTTCTGTGTCATTATTCGCTAACGACCTCTGACGCACTCAATAACGTGTTTCATTAAAATTCTAATCAGAATTTCCACACGCTCTGTGTACTTTCGAGCAGAAATTCTTCCCACTCATGTTCCTTTTTAAACTGCATCATATGAAAAGAGGAAAATGAAAAAAAAAAAAAAAAGTATGATTTCACCTTCCTTCTCTCAACTGAAAATGTGACTGACGGTGTTGTGCCACATGGGTTTCATCAACCCGTGCAAGTACACACACAAGAAACACAGTGTTATCCATTAAAGCGTGCTGATCTCATTCAGGGGAGAAAAGAGGAGTTTTGAAAGTAAAAACTGATGATAGAGAGCAGTAAATAGGCTTTTCTTTTGAATTGTTATGAGGAAAATACCTGTTTGTTGCCTTGGACTCAAAGTCCTAAGGTCTGTGAATGTGGAGCAATGCTTTTGGGAAATATTGGCTGCCATCTGATTTGGTTAGTGCGAACACATTGGAGTAACGTTGATCCATAAAACCTCTGACCAATATATCTGACCAATGTTATGTGTAAAATGTGTAAAATACTTGTTCGTTTAAATGGGGTGACTGTGTAACTGCAGTCAGGGGGAGTCGGTTGTTTGTGTTCATGGGCCTTTTTCACTTTACTACTTTTTTAACTGGGCACTTTAGTGTCCTCACACAGAGCCACGCTCAGCAGTGTTCCTGGAGGTTTCCCTGGATGGCAAAATGGGAAGAAATCCTCTGAGACATGTCTAAGACATAGATACGAGAGTTTCTGATTATTTGTCACATAAAGATTCATTGGGGCGTTCAGTTGCTAATCATAATCAGCCTTCAATGCCAAGCTTATCTTCTTAGTGGGGCTTAATATTTACAGACATTAGGATGATAGTAATCTTCTCAGCTCATCTGATAAACCAGAAAGAGTTGAGTGTCCGGCTTGGAGAACTGACCCTGTGGACCACTTAAATTAAACACCAGAAAGCCTGAGAGTGTTCAGGCTTTGTGGAAGAATAATAGACAGTAACACAAATTCTCTTCATCTTTTCTTTTGGTGTAAATCCTGTGTTTTTGCACAGTACTGTCTGTTCCGAAATGTAAAGCTGTGCTTTAAGCCACTGAATGTGTTCTCAAGCTAGCGTCGCATAACTCGCCAAAACCTCACCTTGCGGGTCTCTCTTTTCCCTCTCCGCAGGAATTTCTACTACATCACCATGCTCCGCGACCCGGTGTCGCGCTACCTCAGCGAGTGGAAGCACGTGCAGCGCGGCGCCACCTGGAAAACCGCCCTGCACATGTGCGACGGCCGCCCGCCCACCCAGGACGAGCTCCCCGCCTGCTACAGCGGCGAGGACTGGACGGGCGTGCCGCTGGCGGACTTCATGAGCTGCCCGTCCAACCTGGCCAACAACCGGCAGGTGCGCATGCTGGCCGACCTCAGCCTGGTGGGCTGCTACAACATGTCCGCCATGAGCGAGCTGGAGCGCGGCGGCGCGCTCCTGGCCAGCGCCAAGGCCAACCTGCGCCGCATGGCCTTCTTCGGCCTGACGGAGTTCCAGCGCAAGACGCAGTACCTGTTCGAGAGGACGTTCGGCCTGCGCTTCATCCGCGCCTTCACCCAGATCAACAGCACGCGCGCCGCCAGCGTGGGCATCTCCGAGAAGGTGCGCTGGCGCATCGAGGGCCTCAACGCCCTCGACATGGAGCTGTACGACTACGCCAAGGAGCTGTTCCTGCGGCGCTACCAGCACAGCCGCCAGCGCCAGCACCGGCAGGAGCGGCTCCGGAGGCGGCAGGAGAGGCAGCGGCTGCACAGGACCTACCTGGCAGACCTGTGGAGACTGGGAGGAGGGGAGGCGGAAGAAGAGGAGGTGGAGGTGGAGGTGGAGGCGGAGGAGGAGGCCCTGGAGGGGGTAGCGACCACAGAGGACTACAGCAGCCAGGTAGTGCGGTGGTGAAGGGGAGCGGGCACGGTGGTGAGGGGGGAGCGAGGGTGATTTGTCGTGCTTTATTTTTTCTCCGTTTTCCACCTCTGCCATGACTCGGTCATAACCACCTGCCCTTATAACCGCATAGCAGCTCGCTGGACTGCCTCACGGTGTCTTTAATATTTACAATGGATGTATGTGTCATGACAACATGGACATTTTGTATTTGTTTTTATTTGTGAAATGTACTTATTTATTGGTTAGTTGGGTGCTTTGGATGTTCTCAAAGCGTCAAAACTGTTCTTTAAATTCTTTAGAATTACAGGATCTGGGGGGGAAAAAAAACTGGCTTCATGGGGGGAGGGGGCTTCTGGACTTGTGACATCTGGTGAAGAGTCCTCAGTATCATTTATGTGATCTAGCGGCTGTGTTGATAAGTGGTATCTTGTTGTGACTCCGTGGTGTTTGGCTTCAGAAAAAGTATCAAAGCACATTCTCGACAAACTGCAGTGTGCTTTCGTCTGTCGAACTGATTAGGCTGCAATCTCGTGAAGCGCTCCAGGCAATTTCTCACAGGAAATGTGTTCAATAAAAATATGCAGCATCCGCTGGTGTTAATTTGTACCTGATGGACTTTCTGGTGCACATGTGTGTACGTGCACGTGTATTCCCTCCTTACCATAAAAGTCTGTAATCTTCACAATAGTGTGCCGACTTCTTTCCCATCCCACAGACAGACGGACTCTCTGATGTGGCTTTTTTCGAAATAGGACGAGAGCAGCGGACCTGAAAGACAGGCTGTCAGAGCCAGTTTGAGCACTCTTACATCACGGTGACAGAACATTGGTATGGTGTACCATTAGGGCATTGATCACGGGGCTCTTTTTCTTCCAAATTGATCATTTAAAGTTCAATTGACTGTGACGCTGCCGCAGCAGAAAAATAGAAGAAGGGGGATGGGTTTTTTTTTTTCCCTCTCTTTAATCTGCTGCTTGATTGACGTTCCAAGTAGAGTGCGGTAGAAAAACAATCTTGTTTGACAAATTTTTCTCTGACAAATAGGCCTCTGAGAAGTTAGGTGGTGGGACGACTGCTTATTATTAATACCCACTTCCTCAATTCTTCACGATCTGCTCGAGAGGGTAAATACAGATGAGGAGGAGATGACTTATGAGGCAGCAAAGGAAATATTCATAGACTAAAATAGCCTTTCCATTTCCATCTGCACTTTATTCTACTTGCGCGGCGTGCACAAGAGAAGAAAAAAAGAAAAGAAAAACGTTTTCCTCCCTTAAATTGAACTTTTACACCGGAAATGTCTCTAAGACACAAAGCTTCTTTCCCAAGGGAGACTTGCTTTAAATCAGCATTTACCATCTCACATAGAAGTATTGATGGTGACATAACGGCACGTCTTTTATCTTTATTATGTGGCACAGTCTTACATTTGTTTTTCGGTTTTGATTTCAGCTAAAAGCCAAGAGAGAGGAAGTTGTTTTTAATTACGTTTGGATAAATGGAAGCTAGTCTGCTCCCATGCAATAGCTCTGGAAGAACTAATGCCCTTTTCCAGAATTCCAACCTTCTTTTTTTCGTTTTGTAAAAATGTAAAGGCCTGCCCTCACTGTTTCAAGACAAAAAAAATGAGCAACCTGTTAATGATCGCTGCTGCACAAATGAGGTCGGAATGAAACTCGAGCCTTCCATCAGTTGAGGGAGCTGTAATTTTGCACACACAAATGGACAAAAGCGAGAACCAAACTCAAGCTGTTCGTAATCCAAATCCTTTGGAAAATGTCAGTAATTTGAGAATGAACATTTTTTTGGGTCGAAATTGTATGCAACCGACCACCAACTATTTAAGAAGTCTGTGCAATGAGTCTGCCTCTTCATCTGAGTCATCACAATGCAATTGTTTTTCCCCAAAGAAACGCATTTTCTTAAAGGAGCCAATTTAAAGACCTTCTAAATCAAAAAGCTAAAGATATAAAAATGGAAAAACCACAGCTTTTTTATGATGTTGTTGCCATTTTTACATACAAAAATGGGATGGAATACCTTGCTAAATATTGAAACTTGTTCATTTAGTTTGGTTTGTGTGCGAATCGTCAATAATAAATGCCTTTTCAAACGTTCCATGGCCACTGCTGGTCGGGCAGGAAGGTTATTCTACTCGGCAAGTAAAACTGAATTGAAAAAAAAAAAGCTTTAAGTGATCAGTCAGAGTAATGTGAATGTATCTTTTGAGCAAAAAAAGTCATAAAAGTGGATGCTATTTTTTTCTCAAATATATGGGAGCATTACAAAGCAGAATGAGTGAGCAGCCTTTCACATTACAGTTAGGCTCTTTGATAATAGGATAAAACTATGGTTGAGGACTATTGCTGCACTAAGCACAAAACAGCTGGAAATGGCGGTAAGTAAACAGGGACTGTGTTTAAAAAAGCAAATAGTGTCTACAGCCATGCTTTCAATTGTGCACCATTGCATTGTTGCATGTTCAAGCCTTTTATCATGGTTGCCAATATTGCTTATTGGCACAGCTAAAGTTGGTATTAGCACATGTTATTTTTCATACAGGCGCATGTTGGAGCACCTCATTTGACCCAGTGATTGTGTCAAATAAAAACGCAGTACAATTGTGATCTGCTCGCACAATTGATCCAAAAGAAGTCGAAGAACCTAGCTCGTCGATTTCAGGGGCTGCAGACGACTGAAAAGGATCTCCAGTCGGAGAGAAAAAGTGTCAGCGAAGGTGAGTTAACACACAGGTTTTGCAGCTTGTAACTGTGGGGCTGGCAGAAGAGAGGCTGCATTGTCTCCGGTTGGGACACAATCGGTGCATCTTTCGAAATGGGAATGAGTCAGCTTTCAGCATGCCTGCAGCGACCGTGGAAAGACGCATCACAGAAAGTATGTGCCAGTCATGCAGCAGGTACGTGGCTGCTGCCCGCCCTGCTGGTGGCTGGCCGTTGGAGCAGTGACCTGGCCTTGTCCAGCCAGCGTTCCCAATGAAAACTGCCCCGGAGGGCCCTCTGGAACTTCCTACCCGAGAAGGTGTACAAAACCAGGTTAAAAAGCGTGTTGAGTCCGGCCAGAGGCCTCGAGACGATGTACGCCGTGTGCACGATCTGCCTGGTGCAGGGGGTTGTCTCGCGAATTTGGGTTTCGATCCACAGGACGCGCAGGACGTGGTACGGGAGGAAGCAGACGACGAACACCGCCAGGACGAGGACGATCGCGCGCCTCGCGCGCCTCCGGCTGGAGCTGGTGGACTCCGGGCCTTTGGCCAGCTGTTTCGCCATGCAGATGTAGCAGGCGAACACCACCACCAGGGGCAGGAGGAACCCCAACCCGGCCAGCAGCCAGCTGTAGAGCCGCACCCCGCTGACCGGCTCGGTGCTGGCGAAGTCCAGGCAGCGCGTCCGGTTGTCCCCCGTGCGCAGGGATATCACATTCCACATGGGCGCGAGGCCGGCGGCCGCGAGGGCCCAGACGGCCGAGCACGCCGCCACGCCCCGGGACCTCCGCTGCACCTGCGCTGACCCCAGCGGCCGGACCACCACCGCGCAGCGGAAGACGGCGTGGCAGGTCAGGAACAGGATGCCGCCGTACAGGTGGAAGTGAAAGCCGAAGCGCACCAAGCGGCACATGAAGTCGCCCAGCTCCCAGGAGTCCCCGTGGACGTAGTAGGAGACCAGGAAGGGCATGGTGAGCACGTAGAGCAGGTCGGCCAGCGCCAGGTTGACCATGAGGATGCTGCTGCTCTTCCACGGACGCAGCTTTGTCAGGTAGATGGCCACCGAGGTCGTGTTTCCCAGCAGGCCCACCATGAAGATGAGGCTGTAGCAGGCCGGCAGATAGTAGAGCTTCATCAGGCGGTCAATGCCGCCGGCGTGGCTGCTGTTGTTGCAGGCCATCTCAAATCCCTGTGAATAAAAAAAAAGAACGATAGCCAGAACAAATCTTTTAGATTAGCCAAACTATTCGCGTTTTGAGGACGATGGTCTGTTTTCCTTGTGTTCTTTGTTTCCTTCTTGAATATCACAGATGTGGTTCTCTAGGAAGCTGCAGGATGGAGAACGGAAACCTTTCTGTGTGGGGTTTGTTTGTTTTTGTTTTTTTCCTGTGGATGAGTGGGTGTTCTCTTAGTACCTTGCATTTTAGTTTGAATGGAGACCCTAAATTGCACCTAGTAGTCAATGCAAGTGTGTGTGTGTGTTGTTTTTCAGTCAGGGAAGTAACACCAACGAGCTGTTACTTCACAAATCAGGGGCATCGTTAGGCTCAATAATGTTTCTTCCCAGGAGGTCGCCCGCCCTTGCCCCCGATGCAAACCTGCCCCAGAGTGATAAAAGAAGAAGAAAAAAAAAAAAAAACGACGACGAATGAATCACCCATCGCTTTCCCCTCAGCTGTCATTTCTCTGTCAGCAGCAATTACATCCGCAGGAAGCGAGGACGGAGCAGGACAAAAACATGGAAGTGAGCATGCCGGGCAAGAAAGAAGCAATCAAATCACCTCAGTGGGAAAGAAGAAAAACAGTGTCTTGTTTCCTCTCCAACAATTGAGTTTCTGAAAGCCACCCTAGATGTGACAGCTGTAATACTGAGCTCTCGTTTGTACAGAGGGTTATTAACACATCTCAGACAGACAGAGTTCAAAATGGCATTAACTTCATTCTGTTTTGGTGCTAGTTTTTTTTCTTTTCAAATACAGACATCCACCAAGAGGCTAATACATAAAGGTAAATGTTAAGAGATAATTTTTCATTTATTACTCACTTCTCGTTACAGCGTCCTCATCAGCGTTCTGGCAGCCTTAAGTGTGTCATCTCTACTCTCACCTCCATCCCTCCGGCCCTCCTCCTGCCCCCCCCCCCCCCCCCCCCTCCCATGGGGAAACTCCGGCATAGCTTTGCTTGAATGTGAGCTGTTGTGTGCCCTCACCTTCAGCCCTGTGAGCTCACTTCCTGGTGTCATGCTTGAGCTGAGAAAGCTGGAGGTTCAATTTGTGTACACAGATCAGGTTACAGGGAGGGGGGGGAAAATGTGGGGAGGCAGTGGTTCGGTTTGTCAGCTACATGTTTAATTTTGATCACTCAATCTTGGAAGTTTTTGGGGTTGTTTTTCCCTGAGACACAGATGGACTAACTTTGGCAAAGATAGATAGACCTGGGTTTCTCATAAAGACACAAGGAAGTTAGAGATGATGTGGGGAAAGGAAAGCTTGCAGTTGATAAAACAGGGTACTAATTATTAATTACAGACCTCGAATGTGATGTCTTTTTAATTTGGATTTTTATTGACTTAATGTAATTTTTAACAGCAATTGAAGCAATTTTGTTGTTGTTGCTTAGACCACCAAGTGAAACCTTTTCAAAAAGGTTTTACTGTGATAACAATCTATTTAAACATTGGGATCACTTTTCAATTTTAGCCTAATAAGAAATGCAAAAAATGTGCATGGCTCTTGATCCAAAGCTTGAAACTTTCCATGTTAACAATTAACTGAAGCAAAGCAACAACACACCCCCAAAAAAAACACTTAAAAAAGGGAGGGGGGGGGGGGGGGACAGAACCAGACAGAACCATGATCTGTCCGTTTTATTTTTTAAAGATCTACATTCCATTCTCAAACCATCATCTCAGTACTGTTGTAGGATCCCATGGCAAAGTTCAACCATCAGTGTTTAATTGTGAAAACATCACTTACTGTTCTTTACCCAGTTTCACTTCCTTATTTATGTGAGAGCAGTAATAAATTCAAAGCCCCCCCCCTCCTTATGGCCTGGTGACACGATGAGAGCCTCCGCCTCGTCATCCGTCCGTAAATCACACAAAAGCAGGCGGAAGGAGTTCACAAATGTTTATTTTTTACAAAACAAGCCTGATGAAGGAGTCTCTCTGTGGGGATGAGGCAGTCTTTTCACAGGCGGCTGGAGCGAGTGTTGAATCTGGCAGATAAAATAAATGTCAAAGATTAACTTGGCGATGGTAAAGCTGTTGGGGGGGGGGGGGGGGCTTGCTGGAGAGGAGGAGGTGGTCATCTGGAGTCCACAGGTGGGCCGAGCAAAGAAAGGAAGCGTTTATCCGGCTACAGTTTGGGCATCCTGGCGGCGTTGAGGCGGACGGCCACGCAGGAGGAGCCGGCGGCGTAGCGCATCTCCCTCAGCATGCCGCTCCACTGCTTCTTCTCATCCTCGTACCTAACCAGAGAGAGAGAATCACACCTCTAGGCAAACGACAAGACGACAGCCGCTAGCGTTCCCGTTAAAGCGAAAACTCACTGCCAGACGTCGGTGACCTCTGTGGGGGCCACTTCTTTGGCCTCCGTCTGGACCATAGCGAAGCCGCCCACGGCGTACAGGAAGCCGCCGTTGCTCACGAGGTTGACGGAACTCCTCTCCTGGGGAAACTCTGTGAAGGGCTCCCACCTGGGGGGGGGGTGAAACACCGGCAGAAGCTTCATTTAGCAGCTGTTTTATTGCTGGATTCACTGCGATTTTTCTCGGGAGCAAAGCCCTGATATCGTGGTTCAGGGTGTGCGGGTCCCTACTTGTTCATCGCAAAGTCATAGGCTTCGCAGGAGGCAGTGAGGCCCTCCTCGTTGACTCCACCTGCCACGACTATTTTGCCCCTGTGGATGACGGCCCCGAACATGGCCCTGGGGGTCTTCATGGCGGCCATCTCCCGCCACTCGGACTGCTTGTGGTTGTAGGCAAACATTTTGTTGAGGGCTTTGCTGCAGGGAGATGAAGATACGATGAGAACAGTCAAGGCATTCATTGACAAAGATCAACCGCACACTCACGATTTAGGGGATTTAGGGTCAGCCGTTGATCTAAAATGCATGTTTTTTTTTCCACTGTGCTATGAAGCTGGAGAGCAAAACCAAAACCATCCATTCAAATTCTACTAGCCTGACCTAGTAGACCATTTGCCCAATGACCTTTAGGTCTTTCACAAATCACTTACACATTTCTCCCTTTCTGTCTTCTTTTTCTGTTTTTAGTCATACCAGCATGGCAGCTCTTTTTGTGTTTCTTGAGTGTTTAATCAGCTGAAATCGCTAAAGTTATTCAACTGGTGTGGAAGGCTGCGTTTGCCTGCAGAGCAAAGCGGGCAGGGAATCTATCAGAGCCCTTGTGCTCAGCGCAGCGCTGTCAAGCCAGAAGGAAAGCAAACAGATTATGCTCCCAGACTGTTACTCCCGCGTATTAGACAGGCCTGGACAGCAGACTTTTTAATTGTTTTCTGAGATGTGTCGCACAGCCCCCCAGGCTTGAAAGATGATGGACTACAAACAGCTGCAGCTCACAGCGTAAGCTCTCTCTCTCTCTCTCTCTCTCTCTCTCTCTCTCGCTCTCTCTCTCTCTCTCTCTCGTACACACACTCACCACACACACACTCATTTCTTTACTCACTTGTCATCTGTCTTTCCTCCAATGCAGTACACCAGTCCTTTGTGGGAGATAACAGCGTGGCCATGAATCTTCAGAGGAAGCTTTTTGGTCTCACTCCACTTCATCCTCCTGAGAAATTGAACAGTTTCAAACAGTAAGATCGGATGTGAGATAGAATGGAGCCCGTGCCCATGGTTAACATCTATATTTGAAAACTGTACAGGAAAATATCTCTTTGCAATTAAAAAAAAATCTGTGCTGAGCAGATTTATAACACTAGGTCCTGTTTCTGTTGCTTATTTTACCCTTTAAAACATTTTGCCACAAAAAGTGCAGAAAAAATACAATTGCTTAAAACGAAAAGCAAAAAAAAAAAAAAAAAAAAACTTCAGAAGGTGAGATCACATAAAATAATGATTAAACACTTTCTTTAGTTTAAGAGGAGGGTAATCTGGTTAATTATCACCTGAAAAGTGTGCTAAAAAAAAGGTGACAAAGTGAGAAATAATGAGGTGGTAGAGGGGGATTGATGAAAAAAATATGTAAAAAAAGGTAAGACTAACTCGACATCGTAGCACATCACAGTGTCCAGTGATTCGTTGCTCTGCAGGTCTTTCCCAGCCACGGCAAACAGCAGGTTTTCACTCTCCCCAATGTTGAAGAGGCACCTTGGAGAAGGCATGGGCGGCAGGGCGAGCCAGTCGGAGGAGAGCGGATCAAACTTCGCAGAGGGAAAGAAGGTAGAGTAAAACACAAGATGAGCAGAGGCTTGCTCTAAGTACCCATTATCCATCTGTTTATACTTCCTCATATATCTCTGCTCATATAAGACATCCACATATTGATTCTTCCAGTAAAATATGAGTATTTGAGGCCTTCCAATTGTCTTTTAGTGGCTGTATAACTAAAACCTGATGGAGTGCTAGGAGGAGATAGATTCAGTCATTTAGAGGAAGATGTCTGGTATTTATTACTATTGCGGTTTCTCTAATGGTTGCATTTCAGTTTTAGTTTCCTTTCTTGTTGAAGCACTATAAAAACATTTGGATGAATTTAAATGCCACATAAGACAATCTAAGCTAATTTAGTTTCTTTACTAACACTAGATAATTAGTGCAGCAATAGAGTAATAAAGGAGACTCGGAAGTAACACTTGGCCTTGCCAGCAATTGTTTTGTTTCAATGACTTTATCTTGACATGCTGCGTGGAGTAATCTTTTTCCTGAAATAACAAAGCATGTTTTGATGTGAAAACATCTGCCTTTTGTTTTTTTTTCTTCCTGAGAGTACAACATGAAGTACCCCACATGCCCGAGGAGACTGATTACAGTTAGGCTGAAAATGAACACTTGTCCATTTATGCTGGGATGACATTTTCGGGGTGTTTACCAGTGTATAGTATGTTTCATTGAATGGTCTTGTCTTGAGAAATCACAAGTCATCATCACTGCTAAACTTGTTGTCTCTATATAGAGAACAAAACAAGCTTTCTCGAGCTGAAATAAAAAAAAAAATAACTGATTTCTAGGAAAAACTATGCAAATTGATGAGGTCTGGCTCTGTTGTCATGATTACTTATAGATGGAACAAAAACTACTAGGGATAACACCCCCACCCCCCAACTCCCCTTCGGGAGTAGATTCAGTCCCTGCTCACCAAATAGAAGTAACACTGTAAAGGCACATCCTTGTTGTCCTCATCCACAAACAGCCCTCCGATAATGTAGAGCTGGTTCCTTTGTGACACCAGGCTGACGTGGTTGCGTGGCACCTGCTCTGACATGGCTGCCAGGAAGCACTCGTTCTCACTGACGTCGTACGCCACCGCCGCCGTGTCGTTGATCATGAGGATGAAGTCCCGCGCAAACATGCCATGTCTGCGGTCGTCGTTTAGGAAGCCGGGGAATGGGCTGTCCTCCTCATCGCCTTCTGCCCCTGTGGCCCCCTCCTCTCCCTCTGTCTTCTTGGGTTTCTCTGGAAGTTTCCCCTTGAAGGCATCCTTGATGACCTGGATTGTCTTCTGCAGTTCCGGGTCGGCCTTGATGATGTCGTCCATCTCCACCTTGTCTTGAAAGTACTTCTCTGGCAGCAGGCGGAAGCGGACGCAGTTGAAAGCATCCTTCAGGACCTTGGTGCGCTTCTCCTTGTCGTAGCGCACCCAGGCCATGACGGCCTCGAATACCACCTCCTCCCTCTCCACATTTAAGGAGTCCCCACCGATGACCGCGAACAGCTCGTGAGCTGCCAGCTTGAGGAACTCGTCTTCCTTGTAGAGGAGCTCGAAGCGATCGGCAATGTAGTTGCGTGCGGCCACGGCAAGGCGGGGACAGCTGAGCACCAAGCCCATTCGGAAAATGGCCAAGCAGTTGCCCAGGGATAGCTTCTTCTGAAGGTAGTTGACGCAGACTGTAAAAACCGAAGGGATTTGGAACCTGTTCGCCACAGCGATTATGTCCTGCACGTTGTCATCGGTGAGGTCAATCTCGGCCGAGTAGAGGTACTGGATGATCATGTCCAGGATGGCCGGGTTAACATCTTCCACGACCACCTCTTTGGTGTTTTCCACCTCTTTTCCATCTTCTGTGAAGAAGATATCCCTGAAGTAAGGGCTGCAGGCAGCCATGATCAGCCGATGGCATGGAAAGCTGCGGTCGCCTACCTTCAGAGTGCAGTCCACGAATTTGTTCTCATTCAGAAGTTCCTTCAAGCCATCCTGGAGCAGGGTGCTCTGAAACAAGCGGAGCTCCTCCTTGATGGCGTTGGGGTCCATGGCAGCGGCTGGAGGGGTTAAAGCGGGCAAACAAGGGGATTCTGTGGACAGAGGAGAGAGGCGGACGCCAGAGGTCCTGTTGGCAGTGGGTCCTGGCTGGAAAAGGCAGGGCAGGGAAAAGGTTTCTGATGTGAAGACCCTGCAATGTAATCCTGCCCCACTCTAAAAATAGGGCCCCTCTCTCTCTCTCCCCAATGCCTGTTTTCAGCTACAGTGGCCCGGGCTCCAGCAGCTGCCGTCACAGACTGAAAGAAGCAACTGGATGCTCCGGCTGGAGATATGCCACCATGATTCAGCTCCCAGAGTGTCATGTGGCCCAACTGACGCTGGAGACAATGCTGTCAGGCCTTCGAATAGCTCCCTCTCATGCTGAAGTTACAAATAAGTGGGAGGATATTCAGGGCTGTTGCTGTCATGCTCAAAAATATTAACTTTTAGATATCTGTGTCCTTTTTAACCAATTTATGTAGACCTCCACACTGACTAATTACTCTTGTTGGAGGTTTTACTTGTTGACTGATTAGTTTTCTTGAGAGACCTTTTGGGGTTTTTTTCTATAAAAGTGAGAAAAAAAAGGAGTTCCCTAATTGAATGTGAACATATTTGCCACACAGCTCATTAATATGTATCACACTTAAATTTTAAAGAGACACTTGAATGCTTCGGGGCATATTTCTTTTGCTATAATTGGACCTGAAAACTTTTGTGCTGTGAGCAGCTGTGAGCATAGACAGGTGAAAGCCTCACATTAAAGAGGTTCTTTCCACCAATCAGCATTGTGCTGTCTTTGAGTGTGTGTGTGTGTGTGTGTGTGTTTCTGTCTTCAGCTTCAGCTGCTCAGTTGATCTCCTTTGGTTCATTGAGTGTCGCCCCAGAGTTAAACTTTTTTTAAAACTATATCTGATCACCGAGGTCTCTCTGACATAAATCTCCCCCTGAAGAGTTTCCAGAAGCTTGTTTTCAACTAGAAAAATGTCAAAGTGGCCACGATTGATGAATCAATAAGGCCATTGTGGCGTTGAGTTGTATTTCTCTTGTCTGTTAAAGTGTGAGGAGTGTGTAGAGTTAGATGACACATCTGCTGCCGGGTACTAAAGATAGATCAGACTACGCCACTTGTCGAGGAGTCTCTAGCATGTAATTCAAGCAGAGGGGGAGAGCTGATCTTTGTGAGAGGCAACCGTTGCAGCCGTAAAGAAAAAATCAAGAAACAGTGGGTTAATTAAGCGTAGCTGCACACCATTTTTTCGCACATGCAAGTTAATTTTGTCAGCGTATTTAAGAGTGACATGCAAGCAATTTTTGCAAGAAGTAAATGAATCTGTTTCTTCTTTTGTTGTCCTTTAGACGCATGTACTGACGCTGTACTGAAATGATGGCCTCACTAAATAAGGGAAAAAACTCCAAATGCTGCTATACTGCAAGGTGCCACAATAAGACCAAAATATCTAAAACGAAGAAATAATAATGATCAAAAGAATTACTTCCTCTGTCAGTTTTACATGAGGGGACTAAACAGAATACTATGATAGTCAGCCCTATGAATCTTGAACTAGGAAAAATTGATTAAAATAGTATATATTTTTTAAGCGGAAGTCATTCTTTATTTATTTTAAACAAAATCTAAAAATATAAGCAAATAAAAATAATTGACATGTTGTTTAATCAATATTTTCTCTGCACACTTTTACCACCAAAATCTAACCCAAAATGCATTGAGGAAAAAACTACTCCAGGGTTGATGCAATAGAAAATCTCAGAAATCTTTCTATCCTGTAGGATATGCATGGCGTTAAAGGGTTAAAAAGATGAGTGAGAGGAAAACAGTAAGCTGTTAGTCAGTTGTTAGTTTTCCCAGGAGTAGATGTCCAGTTCAGTATGTTCAACATTACTAGAAAACAAAAAAAAAGAAATCTATGAACTAAAGCGAAGACTCTAAATTCCTAAGTTGGTATTGCTCATGTCAAAGGTTGTGACAGTATAATAACAGTTTGATGTCAGGACCACGGAACGGGTACTATATCTCATGTGTATCCTAACATACACACATATCTCGCTGTGCATGTTATGGTGATCTTTTCACGATCCTCACGATAGTATATAAAATTACACATATTAAACCATAAACTGTAGATATGCAAATGATACACACACATTTATACACATTTATACATATATATATACAACTTAAAACTAAGAGTTACTGAGTTTTTTTCTTTCACATGACTACATCCCAGAGCAAATTAATAAAGAATAAATCATTTTAAAATAGGAATGTATTGTAATGAAGAATAATCTTTGGTCTTAGAAGAATTGGTCTTAAGTCACAACTTACTGACGTAAACATATTTTCAAATGAAACATTCTCTCCTTCCAGACACCCCAAAACAACTGTGAGCCACCTATCAACACTTTTGCCTCATCAGTCAGGATCAGCTTTATTTAAAAGGTTGACATCAGACGTAATACACAGTAAAACACAGTAAAACACAGTGAGCATTCCTGCCGGGTCTACAAAAAAGGGCCCTGCTCACACAGCTTGTCACTCAAATGAGGCATCAACTCTAGTGACAGGGGCACGTGTTACCCAGCAGAGGGCAGTGTGTGTGTACGTGTGTGTGTTTTTGTATGTGTGGGTCTTCTTTTCAGCCTCTCAGTTTGCTGTCAGTAAAGCAAAAAAATGAAAACAGAAAACATTGAAACATCACATTTCTCAGTCAAGACATTAATTGAACACACATTCAAATGTACAGAATTATTTCAGTGGGTCCCAAGGTTGGAGAATTCATATATATGTATGAAACTGGAACCACTACTTTACTGGTATTAGCAACAAGTAACTCTGTCTCTGGGGATTATGCACCAGTGCAACGTTGAGTTTATTTAAGAGGAAAAACAAAAATACCACTGATCTTGCTACGCATGTTGAGCTGATCTTTTCACAATCCTCACGGCGGTATATAAAATTAGACATCAAACCATAAACTATAGATATGCAAACACTAATTTTATTCCTGAGTAGTAATAATGGAGGGATCCCGTGTTGTTAAAGAAATGAATAATAATAGTAATGTTAATGCCTGTTTTTTTTTCTTTACATTTACAGGAAGTGGAAGCAAAAAAAACAAGGAATTCCTGAGAGGGACAGGAAGCAGAGGGAGATGCAGCACACACACGAATGCAGGTTTGGATTCATCTATTTGTCTGGGCCTGAGAATTATACAGAAACTTTCCGTTGTGTCTGTGAAGAGCGGCTGGCTTCAGGCTTCCCCCTCCTTGAAGTATCTACATCAGATGCACGACAGATGCCTTCACTCAGCGTCCTGAAGTAGGGAAACATAAAGGGGAAGTCAATATTTCAGACCACGAGGACCCTGTCAGGTCAACGCTATGTCAGCCAGAAAAACAAAAAAGAACACACAATACATTTGAGGTGGAGAGTGAGATGCCTGGTTGGGGGGATGATACCAGTGGATTGAGTCAGGAAGCCGTACCTGTGGTTCTGCCGGCCACACATGTCCGCTTGCACTCTTCCTCCGTGTCAAAGCGGTTGGTATTACCGCTGCAGCCTCCGTACCAGAACTGAGCGCACGCGTTGGCCTGCTTGTCGTAGTACCAGCGGATGCTGTAGTCCCGGCACGTGCCCTGGTCCAGTACCAAGCCACAGCGGGGGTCCAAAGGGACGACCTCTGCAGGAAAATGAGTCCCAGGATCAGACGGGGAAACTATTCGTCTTTGTCTGGGATGCAGCGTAGGGGTGTGAATCCAGGCCCATTTAATAAACTGCCAGCAATACAATACATGCAGTGAAGCCCCCCTGCTGAAAGGATGTGATTCATACGATCATTGACCATTTGAATTCATACAACGCAACTTTGTTGCATGCGATTCACGACGCAATTCAAAATGATAAAACACGACACAAAGATTTAAAAAGCCTACATCCCGTTTCAAAACATCGCCATTTTTTTGTGAAGAAAAAGCAAAAATAAGCCAACCTCATGGCTGGTAGTGAAGCAGAGGAGACGGATCAACTTTACGAGCAAGATACAGGGCAAGATTAAACACAGATTTAATCTTAATACTTAAGAGAGATAGAGAAAAAAACTTCTGTTGACAATAGAAAGCAATAACTCATTAGCATTCTTGTTCCATCACGCTTGATCTGCATTAGATGCGTGTTTAGATAAGCAACAGGAATATGATTGTTTTTTCCTCCATGCAGAGCAGGCTGTAAATCAGAGATGGAAGCTCCGTTTGATGGCAGCGTTTCAAAGAGTCCAACTATTTCCATTTGGCGGTAACAAAAGATGCTTAGCTTTTTGCCTGATGGTGGAAATAAGCGTTCAAGAAATGCTTGAAGTCAACAGACGAAACCTAACCCCTTCCATAGTTAAAAAAAAAAAAAAAAAAATGCTGAAGAGTAGGAAAGAAAAGAAAAGAAAAAATTCCATTGGACAAACTTCTTTGAGAAAATCGATTCTCATTTGATCTGATGTGAACACATCACAAGCCTCGTTACATGTGAAACACCAGCGGTTCAGAGGTGGTGCTTGCCTTCGTTTTTTCCCTCATATGTCTTCAAGCATATAAAAAAGAAACACCAGCTGGAAGTGACATAAAGCGGCTATAAAAATGGACTCATTTTCACCGGGGGCAGCATTTCTTTCCCGTTTATGTGTTAAGTTAATAACCGGCTATGTGTTCACTGTCACCATGTTTGCAGAAATGGTTCCTCATGCATGATGCGTCATGCGGATGCTTCGGTAGAACTGCACTTATCTGACACTGATTCATTGTCTGAGAAGAGAAAAATGCTTCAAATACAGACTCGGAGTCGTAGCGTGGAATGTTTTTTTTTCATACCTTTGGGAAGCACTGGCCTTGACGGGGGCACGTACTCTCTGCCAGAGAATGGTGTGGTTTTATTTTCTGAAGAAGACCCTTGTCTAGTGAGGGTGTCCTCTCTGGTTGGAGGATAAGGTTGGCGGTCGAATGTGTCCCCGCGCCTCGTTCCATAGATGGTCGTTTCCGTGTCGCCTCCTCCAACCTGCCGAGTACAGAACAAGCTAATGGTGCTTTGCAAATCGACTTATGCTTCCTATATGGCAAGTCATAGACTCCTGAAGGTTCAATGAGGTGCTTATTGGGTGCATACTACCGCTATGCAGGCCCTACCTGTGTCGTTATGGATCCTTCGCTGCCTTTCCGGGTGGTTTCCACCCGGCCTCCCTGGTTGTTGGTACCGCCACCAGTGTTGAATACAGTCTGTTGGCCATTCAGCGGGTTCTCCTGAGTTATAGGCCTGTACCCATAACCACCAGTGGCATAGCTCCCAGATCCAATCCTATTGCCATTGTAGCCATTGTTTCCATAGCCGTTGTAGCCGTTAGTTACTCTGTTATATATCAAGGCTCCGTTCTCATCCTCGCAGAACTGGCTGACCAATTTGGATTCCAGAGCTGAGATACAAAGGCACGGACAGAGAAAGTCGTTATTTACTCCCTTGTCTCTAAAGGTTGCTCTTGACACAAACTGTAAGAGGTTGGGAACTGTGAGAGTCTTTTGGAAAGCCAGTCATGCCACCACCTGATCTAGTTTTCTGCATTTCTGTATTTTAGTTTGAGAGTGAATGGGCAGATCAACTCTTAAGGACTGAAATGTGAAAACAATTCATGTTTAACTGGTAAGGGTAAGACAGATCTGTTTGCAGATTGTTGTGAGTTCTAATAAACATCTGATCTCAGATCTTCTGTCTGTAAAGACAGGTCATATCAGCAGCTTGGTAACTCAACCTCTCCAAGCTCATGACACGTTAACACGAGTTTTCCAACACCTTAGAATTATTGAAACAAGGCTGCCAAATTATGATGTCCAATATAGTAAGTGTGTAGTCCAACGTGAAACCAACACTCTGGCTTGACTGAAATAAACAATATGACACTTGAGAGACTTCTCTTACTTGGCAGAGTGTTGAAGTCATCAATGAGGAACATGTGCTCGCTGTCCGGGTCGGAGGCGATCAGGTTCAGCTCTCGCAGAAAATCGGCCCGTGTCGGGTCCGAGGCGTTCACGATCCCCAGGGCAAACATCTCAATATTGGCGGCATGCGCCTCCCGGACCGCTATGTCCAGCTTCACTGACTCCCGTTTGTCTGTCTGCCCGTCAGTAATCACAATGGCCACTTTGCTGACGCCCTGGCGCGAGCTGTAGAAGGCCTCCTGTGTAGCTTTACGGATGGCTGACCCGGTGTAGGTGCCCTCTCCCAAGTATTGGAGGTTCCTGATGGCCTGCTTGATGTCCTCTTTGACAATGTAGTAGGCCAGGTTGAACTCCAGTTTCACGTCACGGCTGTACAGGACCAGGCCGACCCTGGTGGCATTGCGGCCCACTGTGACTCGGTCCACCAGCGCCGTCACGAAATCCTTGATGATCTTAAAGTTGTCCGGGCCCACGCTCTCCGAGCTGTCGATGACGAACACCAGCTCCATAGGCCTCTCCTTGCACTTGATCCCACATCCTGCAATCGCAGCAACAGATGAGATCGCAGGCGATGCGTCAGGCAGGGAAAACCAGCCAGAACACAACACAGAAACAAATCCCTTCTCTATGTTAAAAACGCTGACAAGTGAAATGAATAGATACCGCAGATCTCTTTGATCATCCGGATGATGTCATCTCTCTGCAATGAGCACACAAAGCGCAATTTGAGAATATGACACCTGAAAAAATATAGCAATGAATGCAAATTCGTAAGGGAAGACTCACAGTTAGGCCGGCTTCACCTTTGACCCCGGTTCGACCCTAAAATGAGATGACAAGTCTTTGATTATATTTCAAGACAGATATAAGCTTAAAGTGAGAATGAATTACTGGCACAGCCATAACTCCTGAGTTCACTAAGCAGACAGAAAATTATGTTTAATCTCACTCACAGGTTGCCCGGGGTTTCCAGGGTCTCCCATATCTCCTTTGATTCCCTTGAGCCCCCTCTCGCCCGATGAACCTCGGTCACCCTGTCAAACATTGCAAAGCAAAATTCATTAGAAGATCAGTTATGCCAAAAAACCCACATTCAATTTTACAAAGACAATAGATTCACTGACTTTAGGTCCAGGGAAACCCTCTCCTGACGGCCCTCTAGGCCCAATGACACCCTGGGTCCCCTGTTCACCCTGAAACAAACATTTAATGCAAAAGATTTTGGTGGTTTTAAAATAAGCTTTCCATGAACTAAAATGAAAATGTGCTCTCCCAAATAAAAAAGACCCCATCAAAGGTGATAAAGTATGGCCTACCTTTGGCCCCTGTATTCCTTGTCCTTGTGGCCCGGTTGGGCCAGGAGGACCAGGTCGCCCTGGGTTACCCTGTTGATTTAGAAACATTTACATGTAAAGTGGAATCCACATTGCAAGTAGGATGATAAAACAATGGGTGGCAGGCAAAGGCAGGAGCAAAGACATTGGCTATTTAGATTATCAAGCACTGATAACTAATCTACACCGTTAACAGAAGATAAAAAAAGAAGAAAATTAACTTAAGTATTTATTCAATCTATTTTGAGTTTTGTCACAGAGCTAACTCTATTTCATACTAATCTACTGAATAATTCCCCAGAATAAGCCAGAGACTCGGTGGCTCTCTGTTAAAGGTTTAATGTGATAGACTTTGCTCTGATCTGGCGTCATCGTGCCAGATCACAGCCGTGTTTCACAAATGCGTATTTAATCAGATCTGATATATGAAACATATCAAAGCATGTTACAAAAATCAAATGTTTTTTTTTTTTATATAACATGACTCACAGGTTACATCTGCAATCTCTCAGCATGGACAAGGCCTGACATTAATCAGTGACATGTGTGCCCTCATCTTTTCCATTCGACGGGTTCATTCGTGTCCTGGATGAAATCTCGCGGGCTGCTACACGGCGGTGGAAGTGCCCTGACCTGCAGACGCACTGGTCCGACGCCCACAGAGAGTCTAGTTGTGATCTGTGGGGACTTATGAGCTGCCGGGTGCGATTTCCTCGAGGCCTGTTCGGCCAAGTGTTTCTCATCTCACACACACATATGTCTGTGGAGATTCATACTCCTGCTCTCATGTGTTAGAGTGCTGTAGGGGGGAATCGCAATAAATAGCCTGACAAATGAACCGACAGTCTTTGGACATGAGCCCCCACGTCGCGGGCATGTTTGCACATGGGATGAGGCAGTAATTTAGCATTTCTCCCCCAAAAAATCTATTATTCATCAGAGAATATTACTCAGTAATGGCCATCTGGCTGTTTGTCAAACTGAATTAAACATTTAAAATTTCACCCTTGAGTCATGTTTAGAGTGCAAACTTTTTTAGAAATTAAAGGAGAAGAGTGTTCAGCAGGGTTTTTGAATTTACCGGCGGTCCTTGGAGGCCTTCACCTGGGGGTCCCTGCAACCCAGGCAACCCACGAAATCCAATGTCCCCCTGCAAAGTTCAGAATGCAGTTAAGATGCCGTACATGGATTAAAAATCTGTCATTTATTCATTTATTGTTTTTTTTTTTTTAGATCATAGTTCATTTCATACAATGGTGTATTGTACAATTTCCAGTTTCAAAATGTTGTTTTATCCCCTTAAATTTTTTTTCATTATTTTAGAATATGTGAAACTGAGTAACTGTCTCCCAACTTGTATGAGTTTGTGTTTTTTTTTCCTCGAAAGCAGCCTGTGAATACTTTGTATGGCTAAGCTAAGACTTGTCAAATCATAATTAAGGTTTTAATTGTTCCACAAAGATGACTGGAATGAACGATCCCTACCAGTGAAATGAAAAGTTTAAGCCAGGTTTTATCTCAGTGGTTTTTCTCCTCACCTTTGGGCCCTGGATGCCTACGCCTTCGGGGCCTGGTTCTCCTTGGAGCCCTGGCAGACCTGGAGGGCCCTAATCAACGTAGAGCACATATGTTCAAATTCAGTTACTGTGGATCAGCGTCAGTACAGGCTTTTCTTTTTTTACCCCCTTAATTTAGCTTTAGAAATGAAAAACCGTCCGGTGGGTTTGTTGGCTGTTGACTTACCTTACTTAGCTTTGGAAAAGGAGACGTCAAAGTGAATGCCAAGTGCCAACCGCATGTATCAATCATTCAATCCTTTGTATTTATTGTAAACTCAATTGTCTTATCAAGCTTGATTTGCTTCAGGTTTCCACATGTCTCTTAGAGCGTTTGTGTGAGTGCACATATTTCTCCCTACAACTCTGAATGGAAATGATTCTGTTTCTGTTTGCCCCTGGTCTTAGCCACAGAATGAAAATACAGCAGGTTTTAACAGGGTAGTAGCGTTTGTGTGAGTGCACATATTTCTCCCTACAACTGTAGGTTAATAATGTCTCTCTGGCTGAACCTTAAGTCCAGAAGATAGAAAACAGAAGACAGATGATGAAAGTCTAATTCTAAAGTGATGATGGATGATAGGGACATGTAGATTTCTTAGCAAACAAGATGAGCCGTTCACTGTTTTGAGTCATTTCCTCACCATGGGCCCTGGATAGCCATCTCCTTTGGGACCAAATGGACCTGCGGGGCCTGGGTCGCCTCGATCGCCCTACCACAGACACATGCAACGTGAGTGCACAGATACGGCGCTATGCTCTGTTATCCTGCTTAAAACGAGGGAGAGTTCACCTCATCAAACATAAAAGTTATCATTGTTTCTTTTTTCAAAACTGAAATCTCTAAGCACATGTTTGGCAAGAAGATTTTCCAGATCAAATCGAGTGCGTGAAGGAAAACAGGATGTTCAGCTGCGCTGACTTCTTGGAGACTGAGAAATGACTTTGTGATGAAAGTGCACACATGTGCGGTGCAATCTGCCTCTCATTACAATTAGCTGTTGATTGACTTTCCAAACAGACTGTTCAGCTTGCAGATAACTTGCATGCACTTGCTCACTGGAAGGCAAGAATCAAAGATGAAGTTGAATATGTTTAATTGAGAACAGCTGCACTTAGTCTTAGTTCCCAGTTTAGTTGTATTCAGTGCAATAAATGCTTTCCTGCTACCTTTGGACCAGGAAGTCCATATCCAGTCTCCCCAATCGGACCAGGAGGACCATTCGGGCCAGGATCACCCTGGAGTAAGCATTCATAGAATTAGTCTTGATACACGCAGGAAACTTGTCATTTCAGCTAACCTTCAACAATCTCATTCACTTTCATGTGTATGTTGGACGTATGAAAGTTAGTGCTACTTTTTCCTGCACTGTGAGCGGGGTTCTTGTTGCGTCATGCCCCAGAACCCCCAGCGGGCATGTTTTCTGTGATACTTTCCATACTGACAACCCTTCTTTTGTTAAATGCTTGTGTTTGCTGGCAATTTTGTGCAGGCCCACACATGATGCTGTACTATTTATGTGAGAAAATAGGATCCCTTCCTGATCACATTTCTTTAACCCTCCCTAGTTGATCTTGCAGCATATTTTTAAAAGCTAAGTCGGCAAAGAAGAAAAGATCATTGAAACAAAACAGGATAAAAGTAGTCAGTGGCATGAGCTGCTAAAGTGAATTCTATCATTTGGCATAAAAAATGAGCTGTTACCTTGGGTCCAGTGACGAAGCGTCCTGGTTGACCAGGGGCACCGGCCCTTCCTTGTGTCCCTGGTTCTCCCTTTATCAAGGCATAAACTCAAAATAAGTCAATAGTTTATTTAAATCACAGCTAATCTTTTCACATCATTGAAAATATTATTCTCTGCAGTCAATTTAAAATGAAAGTAGGCCTTTCAATCCTATGAGAATAGATAATAAGTGTCCAACTGGTCAGGACCAGCAGATGTTTCTTATGTCCCAATGCAAAAAACAAACAAACCTGGAACTCAAAGAGGGCATGTCTATTTTATTTACACGACCCCTCACCTTTGGACCTGAGGGTCCAGCAATGCCAGGTGGACCTGCCAAGCCCCGAATTCCTCTTTGTCCTTGGTCCCCCTGAAAAGGCCCGTTTGATATCTCGTTACTCATGTGTCAGCTGTGAAAGTTTTTCTCAGTGTACAAAAAAAAGTTTTAAAATGGAACTTTGCTACTTTTGTTGGGTTTCTGTAGTTAACTTCAGAGTAGGGTCTGACCTGCTCTGTTTGGAAAGCGCTGTGAGACAACTGTTGTTGTGATGTGGCGCTATATAAATAAAATTGAATTGAATTGAATTGAATTACTTTTGTACCTTTTCACCCTGGGTGCCAATTCCCGGAGCCCCCTCTGGCCCCCTGAGGCCAATGGCTCCCGGTTCACCCTGAAGCCACAAACACACGCATGCTGAACTTGTCTTTGATTCATTACAGAAGTGCGATGTTGCGAAAACAAGCTCAGAACCACCTTCTGTCCGGGTGCCCCGTCCTCGCCCGGCAAACCCGGCAGACCTGAGAATCCCGGCGATCCCGGCTCGCCCTGCACACGCAGAAAAACGCGGATCCGTGTGAGTGTGGGTGCTGAAAAACCTTGTCGCTAACCTTAACGAGAGGGCTGCTTTTGTTTTTGGGGGAAACCTTGACGCACCTTTGCTCCAGGCTCGCCGGCCCCTCTCTCCCCCGGGGCGCCGACCTCCCCGGGAAGCCCCTGGTCTCCCTGTGTGGGCAAAATAGCTGGATTTAGCTTCTTTTGTTCTTGTATAAGTACCTGGTACTGGAAAAAATCCCCCCCAAAAAACGTCAGATACTTTTAAAATGCCTCGTAACATTAAGTCTAGATAGCTCAGCTTGTTAGGAGAATGAAGTCAGAATGAAAGTGGAGGCAAATCCCTACTAGGGGGTTGCCTGCAGAGTAGTTATGGCAAAAAGGAAATAAGAATGACGAACTGCAGTTGAGAGCGCGACTCTTATTTTCTGGACAAAAATGTGCTAAAGATGCCTCCTGCCTGAGTGTTCAGATGTCTTAGGCTGGCAGGGAGCGGCTTGGGGGGGATGAGGAATGGTTCAGGCTTCCTGGTTTGTGCATGCTGCCTTTTTGAATCTCAGTAGAGTCTACCTGGCCAAATTAATGATCTTTTGTGCCTTGTCACAATTTTCATGAATGTAAAGCTTTTTAGCAAACCTTGGATCCAGGAAACCCTTCGCCCGGCGGGCCTCTGATCCCCGGTGGCCCTCTCGGGCCCTCAACGCCCTGTAAGTGAAAGCAACAAGCCATTAAAAGTGGAAAAACTGAAAGATGGTTTTATCTTTTTCTTTACAGATGGTTTAAAGAATTAAGGAGGGAGATTTTAAAAAAAAAGAAGAAAGCAATCCAGTTGAACACTTGCCTTTTCTCCTTGTATCCCCAATCCTGGGAGGCCTATCATCCCTCCAGGACCTGGAGGGCCAAATTCCCCCTATGGTAAGGTAAGAATGAGAGGTTGACAATGATGACAGCACAGAAGTGAAAATAGTTATGCACTGCGTTACACTCGAACGCCGACCGGAACATTTCATGATTTATCACTTGTGGAAAGCACCGGGCTGCAGGGGACTCTTCACAGACAAGCGTGTACATTTAATTTAGCCTCGGCTGTTTTGTAGCTACATAACTATTTATTATACAGTAAATCAAACATGCTGCAGTAACAATATGCATGTGATCTGTTTGAAGACCCCCGTGTGAAGGGAGATTACTTTGATCAATTCCAAATCTGGTTATATTCCCGTGTAAAAGTGACGTTACTGTAAAATGTTCCCACTGGCGTCTACATCTGGGATTCAGTTTCACCGGAAGGCTGTAAAGAGCTAAACAAACACTTCTGCCAACTGGTGTCATCATGGGCCTGACTGTGAAGCCTCAAGCTTGATTCATCGCCGCGCGCCGCATTAATAGGTGGCTTTTGGTAACTTCTGGCCTCGCTCACAACGGGAGCCCGGCGCTCTCCTCATTCCTCTGTGAAGGCTTTCATAAAGCCGGCTCATTTATGGCCTCTCGCTGCTGTACCTTGTCTCCTTTGATTCCAGCACCTGGCATTCCCCGGGGCCCCCGCGGCCCCTCGAGGCCTCGTTCACCCTGTGGAGGCGGACAGTGACGTTATTTCATTTCGACTTTTGAAATATTAGATGTGAGACAGCGATGGGAAAGTGGGACCATATGCACCACGGCGGCGAAAGGGCTCTTTCTCGTTTTTGTTGATAAAAGCTGAAGAGGTCTGACTGATGTAGAATCTCGTGTATTTTCGTATTCTCATAAATCATTCAATGAAAAATCCCGTCATCCCACTGAGGCCACACATTATAATGACTCGTACAAAGTTTGCATACTTTTGCCAATCTACAAGGAATTGAGGTCATTTTTTGGAAACGAAGCCAGTTGGAAGTGGGATGAACCTACCGCTGGAACACGAATCGACCTAAATGTTTAAAACATTCCAGAGTTTGGAGGGTAAAACTTCTGGCACTCGTGTGGCCCATTTAGGCCGACTTACACCCTGCATCTTAGAGCAGAGAAAACTTCAGATTACACTTTGCAGTTGTTTTAGTCATTTGCTTCTTACAGGCTGTGCAGTGGAGTTGACCCCCCCCCCAAACCCTCAGGGAATGACACTCGTTTTGGTCCAAGGCCTTCCAAGGACAGCGCAAACACAGTGTCCCAAACAGATGTACAGTGGTAGCCGCGCTGCATTCTGTACGCTCGCTTCCAGGTGTTTGGATTTATTGTCGTGCCTTTATGACTTTAGCACACAATCTCCAGTGCTAATGATGTGGAAATAAGGGCAAAACTGCCTCTGAGCCCCTGTGATTCCGGAGCCTGTCGAGGCACGTCAAGAAGAACACTGCTTCAGAGCAAAAACGCCATCTGCGAGTCTGCAGTCAAGTCTGAGAGAAAAGGGGAAAAAAAGTACCCCCTCAGGCCAATCTAGAGCCGTTGGGGCATACGCCTCCTTCTCCTCCTTTAAATGTATTCTTACAGTAGAGACAAGCTGTTACTTTTCAGAGGAGATCTGCTCAGTGATGAATTAGATGACAGTTCACTGCAGGTGGAAAAAGGCATTTTCAGCCTTCCTGTTATGAAGATGCTGTGTTGAGTGTCATGGGTGTGACTAAGTGTTATTCCATTAACTTTGCTTTAAAGAAACAGTGGTTTGGCTATCTTGAAATGAAGCACACTTATGTTACAATGTAAGTAAAAGTGGAAATACCTTTTAACAATTACAGTGAGATGCGAATCACAATTTTTGAAGTGCTGATACTGACTTTTTTTGTGTTCACTTTTGGAGCTCAAAGTGCTTCCACACTTTTGACTAAACCTATGGTAACAAATGGTTGTTCATGATTTTTTTCTAAATATTGTTAACCTTTCAACGTATAGTAATGAGAAAAAGGAAAGGAAAATGTTTCTTTGCATTAATCATTGAAAAATGTGCTCTACCAAACTGTGTTAAGGGGTTAAAGGACACAGAGACTTTATTAATCCAATACTAGTAACCATTAAAAACTTAATCAAGATCCATGGGCCCACGCAATGTTTAGTGGTCTAAGTGTTGCTTAGAATTCATGTTGTACATACTACTACACTACTATACATCCCTTTATGTATCTAACCTACTTGAAAAAGCAGATAATAATGAAAGAAAGACAGTATGTATCAGAGTATCCATGATGTTTGCAGATGTACCAGTATGAAAGAACCCAGACACAGACTCTCTCGTTTCCCTCTCGCTGACCCACTGACGCAAGTGTCGGGATGAGGTAATGGGAACCACACTTCATATTTGGATCAGACCTTATAAAACTTTTGCATTGCATCATGATCTCATTTAATTGTCCATTTTCTGTCGCAGGCAGTTTGTGTTTGTCAGATGGGTGAAGTGAGAATGAACGTGTGAAAGGGGTCAGAGGTTTGAGGCGTGAGTATACAAGTCTTTCAGGAATTACTGTCTATATGTATTTCATCTACACGTATTTCCAACATAGAAGACGTGAACACGAGCTCACCTTTGATCCAGGGAGACCTTCTCCTATTGGTCCCCTCTCCCCTTGGACTCCCTGTGGCCCTTGAGGCCCCTGAATAACATAAAAGAAGCCGGTAAAAGATGGATGAACAGAATCACAAACTCTCCATTCAGGTGAGACGGAAAGAGCTTCAGACATATTTTTGTTGGAAGAGCCTTGCAGCACAATTGGAGGAAACCAAAAAAAGAAAAAAAAAGCAGGCCCTGACGTTATTAAGTGTTTATTGGGTGGTTTTGATGATGGCAAGACTGACATGCTGCTGCCAGATGTAGGCTGCGTCCTGGTTTTCCTCAACTCACCGGTGGGCCGGCCTCGCCAAGACCCGGTGGACCTGTAGGACCCGGCTGGCCCTGGAAGCCGACATCGCCCTGCAGAGACCCGACACAGCCAGAGGAGCGTTCACGCAGGACGACACACAACAGGTTTCTTTATTGTGCTTTTTTTTAAACGACATGACTGTAAAATTAACCTTTGGTCCCTGGATGCCAATCCCTATTTCCCCTTGTAATCCAGATGGTCCAGGAAGTCCCCTTTCCCCCTATAATAAAACAAACAAAAAAAACAAGACGTATGCCCGAAAGACATGCTTAAACAATGGCGTGTACAGTTTTCACGATTACAGCTTGAACACCAGTTAGAAAAGCCACTTAACGCCATCGTAAACATATGAACTTCCTTCCTTTTCCATCGTGCTAAACCGCTTCACAGAGCTGAGAAGTAATTGGTCCAAAATGCAGTTGTTTGTTCGCTGAGAAGCTGTAAATCACGGCCAGGGTCTTCAGCAGGAGGGAACATTGGAGGCGTGATGTGGGCGTGGAAATATTTTTTTCCCCCTTTCCCTTGCCCTTTCAAGCAAGTTAGGACAATGCTTAAAGCCAGACATTAGCCTGCTATTCAGGTGATATAGGATGACAACCAGACTATTAACGGGAACATTCTTCTAAAATAATTAGGAGGGGAGCACTTGGTGGGGAGTATGCGCTCAGGGTAGAATTGGCAGGTATAACACATGGGGAGGAGGCTTTAAAAGGTAGGAACAGACAAATAAGCTGACAGCTTAATAACAGACGAGCCACTTCAGAGCGCTTCCAAATGTCACACTTGAGGGTTCAGAAACACGGGAAATCTATTGGTATCATGGGTTTGCTGAAGATGCCTGATATTTTTATTTATGCCGGAGCGGGATGAATTCTATCGGGGCACATTTTAAATGTCAGCCTCGTGAGTTGAGGTTATTTACTGTACGTTATTCTGAGAAAATCTCCCAGGATCAGACAGCCAGCACTTTTTTTTTATAGAAAAAAAAAACTTATGTCACATTCCTCATGTGCAGCAACATGTTTGTTTCCCCCCTGACACTCCACAGGTATCATAGCCACTCAATATCTCCGCGTTATTAAATCAGTGACCTCTGCGATCCTCTGCAGACTATAATTCATCCCAGGCTGAGGGGCATGTCACGTGGCGGCTTCCTGAGATCGTGGAATTTTTTGGGGCTTCAAAGATGGTCAAATTTCAGCTGGAATGTCAGGGCAGCTTTTGTGTCTCTATTTCACGACTGTGTAAACACTGGGATGTGCAAAGGTTGCTTAATGGGCTCGGGTTGCTATCCTTCAATGCAATGGTGTCCGCATTTAGACCAATTTCCAAGACTGAGGTGAATCCACTTTCCAGGCAACAGTCCCATCCCTCCACTTTTTAGAGGTAACAAGGCCCCTATTGTCTATTAGTGATCAAGAATTAGGTGCCATCTTGGCATCCAAGTGCCCCCTAAAGCCCAATTTGAAAGATGTGAGGGAGGGTTAGGTGGTAAGGAAAATTAGGGGCTAGACATTGAAGCATTGGGGTTTAAATCTTTGGTATCTTCTATTAAAAAATGTAGTCATCATTTGATATATGTTCGCTGATACGCTGCTGCTTTAAATCTGTTTAATCATCAACAAGAACAGGGATTCAATTCCCCAGTCTTTACGTCCCTGCCAGGCGAGGTACAAATCACATCATGTCTTTCCCAACACTTTTTTTTGCCTTTCCTTCAGTGAGGGTTCATGCAGGTCTCATCTAACCGTGTCCGTAAATCTTTGCCGCGCTACCTTTCTGACTTGGTTTTTGTTTTTCCGTCAAATTCCAATCCGGCCCTCTGATTACCGCAGCTGATAAGTAGGTTTGCCTTTCGCAGAAAAAGCCTCCGTCACTCCGCGACAAAACTCTCCTCTCACATACTTTAACATCTGCATACTTTAACATCTACATACTTTAACATCTGCACTCTGTGGAGTTCTGCTGATGTCTCCACTGCTGTTTTGGAGGTTCCATTCCGCAGCTCCGGGGGCATTTCTGTCATCTCTGGAGCCAGCGGCTGCTGTCTACAGTAAATTTCCCAGTTTTCTTTTTCCCTTTTTTCTTTAATGACTGGTTTTGTTTTTTCTGTCATCGTCTGCTGTTTTTCTCTTTGGTAATCACTGTTTAGTGCGCCACATTTTGTATTAGACAATGTTCCCTACATGCATGAGCATACAAACAAGGATATGCCTTAAAAAAACTCTGAATTTATCTACTCAAAGTACTGGAAAAGGCTTTGCGAGCAGCATTTTGAGAGTCAAGGTGAGATTAGTTGCAAATTACTTGAACTTTGTATCAACATAGACCATCGTGAGAGCAGTTATTCATTGCTGAGAACTGATTTTAAAAAAAGTGGACAGCAAAGTCTTTTTTGTAGATTTGTTCCCCATGTTTTAATTTTTGTTTAAAATGTTTTGTTAACTAAACATTTACAAAAAGAAGAGAGGATGTTCTCCCCACTGTACAACAACAAGTTGACGTTCTTAAAACCGGCTACAAATCTTATCAGTGAACCGCTGTGTTCCTAAGCATGTTTAACCCAGGGGATTGAGATTGAGACACTACTTTGTTAAACGGTGGATGGAGCAAGCACTCCAGGTTCCTACTGAGACCAAATTAGAGCCAACACCAGACACCCCTTTTCTGTTTGCAAGCTACCTAACATATCAGCCACTAGTCATCCACAGAGCGACTGGATCAAATCAAAGTGCCATTGGCTGTTATTTGCAGCCTGGAGTTAAGCATTTGGTTGCCATCATGTTGGTCCTTTTGGGGACCAAGACTCGTATTTGGGGAAGAAGGTGAAGCTGAGGAGGGGACTTGACTGATTGGACATAAACCGTACAGGGGTAGTCTGCGGTCATCCATGGCCCAAAAAAAGAGTACTTACTATATAGTTTGAAAATGGGGAATAATAATACAAGTATCCTCAGTAAGAGTAAATAAACTAAATATTTTCATTTCTGCTTTGAGGAGCATCAAAATGAAGAAAACAGAAGACTTACCTTCTTGCCCATCACTCCCTCAGGTCCCATATCACCAGGTGGACCAGGCAAACCCTGAATAATGAATGATAGTGTGAGAAGTTCCACGCTAAGGGAGTCACATGCAATATAATCACAGATAACTGTATTAACCATTAATGTGAAGCTTATAAAGAAATAATACGGGTGAGCTGTCCAGTCAGTCGTACAGCACGCTGCAATTTTTGCTCATTTTTCAGCCTTCTGCTCATGACAGAAGACATATGCTGCTTAAGATTTCTGCTTAATTCAGATCCTTGACTTGCGAAGTAAAAAAAAAGCGTAAAAAGTAGAATAAACCTGGAGGCCGCGATTTCCTCTTGGACCGATGACACCCTCGGGACCCTGAAAGAGCGGAAAACAAAGAGTCTAATGAGGTCAGGTCATGATTAATTGTGATAAAACAGTAGTTGTCCTGAATTAACAGTGAGAAGACTCGGTGTAACAAGACTTATGACAGCCCACGTACTCTGTCTCCCTTTACTCCAGGCGTTCCACACTCCCCTCTCTCCCCCTTGAACAGAAGAAAAAACAGTTTATCAAAGTCTTCAGACTTTTTGCATATTTCAAAACATAGATTAACATTCCTTGGCATTTCTAACAAAGTTTGTGCTTGGTTTTGTTGATGTTGCAATTCGTCTTGATCTACTACGTTTTCAGGTCCTGGCTTGAAGTCAGTTTACCACAGCTTTTACCCCAGGACTTAGCTTAATTATTAAAAGTTTGTTGTGGTGTATGAATTGGAACAGATATTTGCAGACAAGCTTGACATTAGGTAGGGATGAACAAACGAAGCCAAACGCAGCGATATCTTCTAAATCTTAGCATCTTAACGTATTTGAACATCACTGTTGTTCCATTTCTCTCATTGTGTGGAACCCTGTATTTTAAGCATCTTAGGTGGCATGAGGAGGGATAATAATAGAATCCATACAATACCTTCTCTCCTTTGTATCCAGGTTTTCCCTATGTGTACAAAACAATTCAGTTAAGACAGAAAAAAAATGCATTGGGGGAAGAAAATAAAAGTCAGATTATGTGGAATGTGAAGAGGAGATGTATGATTCTGGACTTGGTTTCTTATTCATTTGAGACCCATGCTTACCTCTGTCCCCTCTTGGCCTGGAAGACCACTCAGCCCACTTTCACCCTAAGAGAAGAAAGATTTTACTCTAACCAGGAAAGACAACCAACAACTAATTAAAAAAAACTACTGTTGGTCACTTAGAGGTGGCACCTTTTGTCCTTTGACACCAGGGATTCCATCCTCTCCAGCACGACCCCTCTTGCCCTGAAAGAGTCCGGTAAGCAAAGTAGGCATTAGGTTGGAGCCAAGTTGGTTGCAATCATAAATTGGTATCTCGTGGCACTTCCTGTTCTGTATGCTAATATATCCAAAATCAATTTCTTTTTTTTTTTTAAATAGTTCGGTTTATATTTGCAGACTTAGATAGAGAATCATGAAAAACTAAAACTGTTATGTTTCTTCTGGCTGGTTTGAAGTGAAAAAAACAAGTTGGTGTCAATCGCCTGTGGCTGCAATTCCTGCCCAAATAAGCAATAAAGTAATTGCTTCTTTCACCATTTCTTCTTAGAATTGTTCAGATTTCCATTGAAACTTCTGTCAGAGCTCCGTCATTATCCTCAGCAGCTGTGACATGTGATGTTACACATGCCGGATGCCCCCCGTCTTCAGCCTAATGATGCTCTGCCACACCCAGTGTGAGAGCTGCTTTGTCTTTGTGGAAACACGGCTCGCATCGAGCATGGACTGAGACCGAGGAGTCTTTTGTAAAGCTGACCCAGACAACTGTCTGGCTCTTATCTCTGTTTTGGAGCTTGTGTGCCGCAAACTGGGTATTCTCCGACCCTTTGAGCATCTCTCTCTTTCGGTGTCTATGTTTGCTCCTATAGCTTTATTCAATGCTTCCCTGCTGCTGCTAATGTGAAACAGCTTTTGTTCTGAGAATCGTGCTGGAGGGGGTAATTACTTTGCTCTCATCGTGAGAAAAAATACATCAAAGCAGAGTCACTATGGCTAATTGTGTTGGTTGGCCACTCTTGGGTATCAAAAGGCAGGCCTGTACTACGATGTGTTGGGCAGTCAAAGAGAACCACGCATGTGGCCTTTTTTTCAGTTATTTTTTTATCTGCAAACCATGTGTTCTTAGACAGCCATAAATGGTGGGAGTCTTTCAACAGGCATGACTCTGCGGATTTCACATGTAAATATATGTTTAGACCTGTTCTCAACTAACTGTAAGAGGAATGTAAAGCATCCCCCTTTACTCTCACTGCTTCAGGGAGACAGAGCTTTTCCAAACCACACAAATTACTAAACTGCCCTGAACCCTGCAATCATGCAGCCTGTTAGCAGTTAAAGAGTCTTTTGTCAGCTGCGTTCAAAAGGCGGCAGCCTGTGTTTTGGAAAAAGCTGAGAAATTTCTGTGATCAACACAAAAACACATTAGATCTCAGATTGAGGGCAGTTAACCCTGAGTTTAGTATGGAAGGATATTATATTAACATGTAGTCATATTAATATATCATGGAGAAAGATGAATAACTCAACAGTTTTAAAACAACTAGAGACCTCAAAATACAACAAATAACTATTCTTTATGCCACCATTTGATTACGGGGGGAGATTTTTTCGCGTTTCATAACATGGAGCTAAACAAAAACAGGGGAACCACAGAGAGAGTTTCAGAAGAACAGAACATCTCAAGAATGTGTTTGAACATCAAACCAGTAAAAATCCCGAACCGGCCTCCCCGTTTGACAGAGTCTCCCAGTGCTGAATAACTTTGTGTCCTGTAGTGCCGGATCAGATGGATTTAATACTTACAGCAGGCCCGCTGGGTCCACGCTCACCCTTCTCACATTGGCACTGGGCCTGAGACTGTGGACACTGAGCACATGGAAAAGAGGAGTTAGACAGGTCATCCACGAATAGACGGCCAAACATAAACTGTCCGTTTGTTGGCAGACTTACCCCTTCATCTGCCAGCGCCGTCTGTGGATAAGAAAGACAACATAGTGATGTTATATGTACTCCATGATTCAGACATTCATTTATTCCTTGCAGATGGTTTTAAAACAAAAGAAAAGCCTAAAAAACACACGGGGAACCCAGGCTGCATTTCAATGTGTTCAAAGTCCTTGTGAAAACTATAAAAACCTAATGTTTAAATCCCCCTCTGCCCATTTCAGAAATCATCTCAGTAGCGTCACATCCCGGGACGATGCAAGGTCACAGGATTCATGGGAATAGCAAGATCACAAATAAGAAATTGCCAAAGAAAACAACGATTCTGTGCCACGATTCTCACTGCTGGCCTGTCTTATCTTTGTACTTAGTCAGGAGCCCTTCAGTTTTCCATTTATACCTTTACAGTTGATTTTTGAAGTGCAGCTGCCTTTATTCAAGCTTTGAGGATCGCTTTGATCCGGATGACAGAGAATCTGAACCAGCATGTATAAACAATGTGCAAAACTCAATTATGTAAGAATAATAAGAAGGATGTAGAAGTAGAAGACTTGAAAAGAGGTGGTTTTACATGGAATTATGTGTTCATGCGATAACATGGCTTTGATGACGTAGGAATAATCCCTCACTCAGTGGTTGTGGGGGCCTAAGCAGATTCTCATGGCCGTTTTCCACTAGTTTTTTCACTTTTCAAACTACGGCCAAGCAGAAAGATGCCTGGCACGTGATGTCAAGCTCGAAACAACATTGAAAGGCATCGCAGCAACTACATACCCGCCAGATCCTGGTGTTGGACCGGGTATTCTGGGGTTTACAACGTTCATAATCTCTTAGTTTAAGTGTGCTATACCTGAAGAAGTTATGACATTTGTCACTTGTTGCCAACGACAACCAAAGCTGACAATATGGGAGTACCCTCCAAATTCAAAGCTGAGCTAGCAGACTCAGGATGAATCGTGAATTCTGCTGAAACGCAAAACTTGGCTTGCAGGATTGGAACGATATTAGGTCTCAGGATGTCAAACAATAGCAGCTGCGCAAAGACAAACTCCCTCATAACTGCAGATTCATTTGGTCACCTGTCTAGCCTCTTTCCGAACAGTCTCCACAGACTACAGTACATCTCAGATGGTTCTGTGTAGCAAACCATCTGGCATGTCAGGTTACACATCCTGTACTTCCTCCAGTCAAAGACACATTTTCCAGACCATGATTTTCTTCCCATTTCTCTTCAAAGCTTAACCACATTTTCTACAGAAGGGAGTCAAGCATTCAACTCAACTGCGACTTAAACTCAAACCACATGCAACGAATCGTACGTCGGCCCCCTTCAGGCATTGCGGGACGTTTCTGTTTCTGGCGGGAGTGCCAAGGCGTCGCACGCCGTTTGCCTGCTTTTGAGGAATGTATGATTCAGCTGGGCCCCACGACTAAAAAGAATGTTTCTGCTCTGAGACAGAGACAGAGGCACATGCTTATGACATACAGATGCCGCTCAAACTAGGAAATGAGATGAAAGAGCTGCTTCTGCTGAGCTCTAGCATGAAGACGGTATGAGGCCCATCAAACTCAGTGCTCTAGGAGTCTGAACTTGAGTTTTTCTATAAGTTATCCCCTCACTGTTTTTGATGCACACCACTTGTGTCAATAGTGGAAGCTTGAGTTTGAAGTGGCACGACATCGTTCCCGCTCGGGTGATGTTGCGTGCAGCCATGTTTTCGCTGGATTCCGGGCAGTTACTGCACCCGATTTTCTCACATAAACGTCTAATGTGGAGCACATGTTCCTTCCAGATGTCTGCTGTTGACTCCAGGATGTTTTGATACTAGACATATTGTAATTAGCGGCCTACAAAGAGTAACCGAATTCAACGAAACCTGCTAAACAACTGAAAATGAAGGCAAAGGATTTCCTGAATTATCCTTTCTGTACACGTACATCTCGGTGCACTATGGAGCCAATTTGGGAAGAAGTTATAAGATTCATTGAAAGTTTGCTGTGCTGGCCTGTAAATATCGCAGCAGGTGTACATCATTGTGCAGAGGGGGAGCTCTGTGGTTGTGCGAGAAGCTGAAAATGCTTAATGAAAATGTGTTACTCCATCCCAAAAAACATGTAGAAATATCCGTTTACGTTAAGGCCTTTCGAAGCCTCCATCCATCACAAATTTCTGCCCTCCGGTTAAAAGCAATCACCAAACTCACATGCAGTATCCAGGCTGATGCAAGTGTCAAACAAATGTTTCTTTCAGGCTTCGGGATGTTTATGGGCAAGTCTGAGCATGTGCACCACAGGCATGTTCATCATTTGAGTCATTTTTAATGAAACTGCACTTAAACAGATTTTCACAATCCTGCCTGCTTTTTAATGTAGATGATAGATGTTAGATAAGGAAGAAAAAGAATAAAACCCCACAAATTGCTGTGTAAAATTGAACGCTAATTGAGCATGGAAAATTCATGACTTCAGAAAACCTGTCAAAGAAAAAGGTTTAAGTGGCATAAAACACTGGGATGTGTTTTTCTCTCATAAACTTAATCATGCCTGCAATTGCATAAAATCTGCAGATGATACATGGAATAACTTTTGTTTATTTATTGATTTTTTTACTCACAATCTCCTTGATGACTTTGTCCACTATGCCCTGGTCCTGCAGGTTGTGGAGGTAGCGGGAAGCTGGGGAACTCGCAATCGAGCTAAGCTTTTCGATTTTGTCAATCACGTTGGCCTCGCGAGTGATTCCTATCGTGAAGAAGTGGATGCCCTGGCTCTTTGCTTCCATCACGGCTGAAAATATACTGGGGTTATTTGGGTGCGAGATGCCGTCAAAGAGCAGGATGGCAACCTTGATGCTGTTGGCGCCGGACTCCTCCCGGTAAATGCGGGTCAGGTTGGTGATGGCATAGGTCGTGTAGGTGCCCTGGCCAATGTAGACGAGGGGAGCGATCCTGGCCCGGAAGTTTTCGATGCCTCTCCACTGTTTGAAGGTCTGCTCTATGATGACGTGACTGCTGTACTGCAGGAGGGCGGCGCGGGTGCTGAGGCCCCGGCCGGTCTGCAGCCGGAGGCCCTGTAGCCGGTCCATCACATCCAAAGCGAAGCGCTTCTCCTGGGCATGGTTGTTCTTGGCGCTCTCCGAGCTGTCGATCAGAAAGGCCAGCTCTACGCCGCAGTCCTCGTCGATGAGCGCTGGGGAATGAAAGGGGGACAGATCTGAGGAAATGCTTGAACCTTTACCAAGTTTTGTCTCATCCTGTTTGTGGCCATACTCTGAAAATTTGTTAAAAAGTTAAAAATGATGAACCGAGGAACACGGAGTGAATCCACCACCTTGCCGGACACCCTCCCGTGCAGTGTACTTGCTGTGATGAATTGCACACGCATGCTTCCCACCGGTGCAGCCTCTGGCAAAAGCAGGGCACAGAAAATGGATGGCTGGGTGCGACTGTGTCAGGACTGTTTGGATGTGTGTAGTCATAGATACTGTACGCTTGTAACCAGGCCGCGACATGGGAAATCTGAGTGCCAAAGCACCGGTAGAGCTATTAGGACAGCTCCAAATAAGTTAGAGGCCTGCCAGCTGAATTTCAAGGATACTGTTAATTACTTTTAACAAAAGAAATCAGAGGCAAACCTCTGTGGACTGAATACATCTTTTGTTTTGAGCAGCGCAAGAAGATTAGGCTCTCGTCGACTTGTGTCCTGGCTGTCATACTTGGCCGGTAAGCATGATTTAATCAAAGTGGGTGCTCACACAGCAGATTTAGCCATGCAGCTGCCAGCTGATGGGAATCAGGCGTTTATTTACTGTCACTGTTGGTTTTAAGGTGCAGTTTGACGTTTACAGTACGAAGTGTTTGTTGGCTGCCCCCTGCTGGCTGAAATGTATTGAAATCGTTGCATAAAGATGTTGAGAAGAAATCAGAAAAGGGCAGGATGTGGTATTCAATAGCATGCCTGCCTACTCTGGATGTATTTTGATGGGAACCGTAGCTTTAATTGTCTTTTAAGGTGCTAACTGCTTTGTCTTGTGAAAACTTAGCACGGTTAACTGATTGAGCTCCAAAGTTGGTTGTTAAATGCTGGTTGTTAAAAAGTTCCTCAAAATCTGTTTTCATAGCAATTTCATAGCCAGCCAAATGCTAGGACACAATTGGCCAATGGGCATCATAAGAGGGGATGCGTCTTGACTTCAGAAGGACTGATGATCTATTGACCGTCTATTGGCTGCTGCCTTTTTCCAGAAATTGCGATAGGTTAAACTCTTTTGGGACAAAATGAATGAATCAACCTTCTGCTGTGGAAGGACGTCGCAGATGTTTTAGAGGGTGAGGATGAGGCACATTAATCTTCAGAGAAATGTGTCCAGGGGAGAATGTGCCTTGGGGAAACAGGATTTTGAGCGAATAAAACATTTGAATAACAGAGCGCTAAGCAGGTCACACTGGAGATGAGTTGCTCTGAGGCCTGAGAGATACGATCAGTCCGATTGTATTGCTTCCACCAGCGGTGTAGATCCTTGTTCTATCTTTTTCTCCCACCTCACCTGTGGCAGCATATATTTTCAGCTGCACCTTTTCAATCCCCCTTTTGTCATGTATCAGTCAGTTCCCCAATAAATATTAGTGCCGGGAAACTTACATTTGCCATTTTGTGCTATAGCATTGGGTAAATACGGTTTGTTCTTCTTCTCACTCCTGGAGGCTACCACCTCGTCTTCATAGTCATCTTCATACCCCTGTGCCCGCAGACACTGAAGCCTCCAAAGCAGCAGGAGCCAGTGTAGGGAGAGGATCATGGCTTCCCCGAGAGGGCTAAAAAGAACAGATGTGGATTCAAAAGGAGTGTAATGCACCTCCGTCCATCCTCAGAAATAAAAAACTTGCACAAAGACAGAAAACAAGCTTCAACAAGCGTGCATACCTCACAAGGGTGCCAAGTTAAGTATCCAATGTGCTCCTCTCTGTTACTCCCCTCGTGGCAGACTGGCAAATTCAGAAAGACGATGCAGACAGGGCACAGGAGAATCTTCCTCATTCAGCATTCAGAGGTTGTTCAGCTCCATGGGCAGAATACGGACTTATAAAGTTTCCTCCAGTGGCCGGTCCTAACTGGGCATCTACAGGTCAGGTGGACACCATGCAGTCATACCAGAAGCAGCATTGCCTTGCCAAAAGTTTAGACTTCACTCTGGCTCTCATGGGACTCCCTCAAAGTCAAGTCACTCCAAGCTTGCTGTAAATGAAAGAGTCCGGCCCTTTTTTTGTTTTTTTCTCTTTAAACTCCCCCCCTCTATCCCTCACACCCTATTTGGATAGGAGGCTGAGGAGGCAGTAAAGAAATCCCTCCTCATCACTGAGCAATGAGTGCCCTTTTCACTTGTTCTGGTGTCTTTTTCACGTTTTAAACCGTGCTATTTTAAGCAATAACAGTTTGAAAAGCCTCCGGGGGGAACTGTCTGTCCTATAACTAGGATATGCATCTGAGATCAAAGTAGGGCTGACTTTTTTTTTTCCCCTCTTTTTTTTAATTCAGTATCTCTGTTATGTGGCAGCAGTACCAATGAGAACACTGAGGTAATGTCCTTGGGAAATGGCCCAGAAAGTTCCGGGGGGGTTAAAACTTCTATAAGGCTGTTTTATTAGTTGTTTTCTTCTTCTTTTTGTTTATAGCTAAAATGGTTGGATCTGTGAAAAGCAGAAGCAAATTCTCCCTTGTTCTATTGAGTTGACTCCATTTTTACAGGAACTGCCAGCTATTGAACTTGTTCAAATCATAAAGTGCAACATTAGTCAAAGTCAGCTCAGAGATATGTCGCACTACTGTTGTCATGTCGTCAAAAATCTAAATTTCAGTGGATTCTATGCTTTTGTTCAATGTAATGACTGCTTATTCTTTCTGCAACCTGTTGAATACTGAACCAAATTAAGTTTATTTCCATTTAATTTAGCCATTTTCCTATTTTTTTGCATAATCATAATAATAATTATTATCATGCGCTAATAATTTGGGAGAGGAGAAGTCCAAAAATCAGCATGCTGCTAAGAATAAAGCTTTCTGTTTATAGTAAGTCTGCAACAGCTTTCTGTCATGTACGTACTAGTAGCAGTAGTGCAATCAATGCAATATTGCAACCTCAATTTCTTCCATATTTTTGTTTCCCCAGTGCTGTGCAACAGGGTGGTCATATAGTTTGTAATTATCGGACTGTTTGGCTGAGAAATGCTCACCATCTATTTTATAGGTCTGTCCAAATGACACAACATTCATTAGGTGTCATTGTAGGCTTTGCTTCAATTAAGTGTGCCTGTAGAAAGTGAGCCAAAACAGTACACTGAAAGAAGTTTATTTACCAAAGTTACATGATGGAATCTCTTGTTTTGCCATTTTTACTGACTACTGAGCCATTGTACACACACAAACACAATCAAAATCTTTTTAATCTCTTGTTGCCGTAAAAATATTGAGTGAAGCCACTTTAACGCATGTTTTGTTTAAGCTTTGCTACAGTAATCCAGAAAAGTGGGAAAATTGGAGGATATATGCCCTCAGGCTACACACCTTGCAACAGCAGCCAACCAGGAATCACCTCAGCAAACAGCAAGCGCAGTCATTTATCATCTGTCCTTTTGGTAGGATTCACTGTAACATATAGTTCCAGAGCCCAGAGAAAAGTTTTGCCCAACATAATACTGTAACTGAGGCATTAAAAGAGTTTCTGACGGGGAAACTTTGGAATTCTTCCCCAATTTCCATTAGATTATTCCAATCTCACTTTCTCAAGTTCAATCAGATCTGACCAGTATACATATTTTGAAGTAAATTGTATTGTATGATCTAGATCTGTCCAGTTAGTTTGTTTGATTACAAAATTCTCTCTTAAGTGATAATTTCAAAATTCTCATACAAATGTTGTCGGAGAAGTTTTATAATCCCGTAAAACTATAAAGACTGTCTGCAACCTGCAATCTTGGAACCGGGGGAACGTCAAAGGACCACAAGGATTGTAGTGATTTTATTGCCTTGAAAGCAGTGAAAGGGGAGCTGTCAGCCAAGAATGTTGTGCTGAAAAAACTAGTTCTCCTTAACTCCTTTTCAGCTTGCTTTACTTTTTGCGCATGCCGATTAAGCAAAGGTGTGTCAAATATTAACTCTTATATTCCAGCACAGTGTCGGTTTGGAATCACTTTGCGTTAAAATGTCAGCAGAAGTTGTTGTAGAGCTGACATCTGACCTTTTAAAAAGTTTACAGTGTGGGGAGCTAATGGAAATCACTGCACATCTGTGGCTTAGACATTTTTATTTGGCATTTTTTGTAACAGTAGTTGAAAGAACAGCACACGTGAGGCTATTTGAAATCCCCCCTCGAGGTGTCTTTGCAACTTTGCTCGACAACTGTTTTAACAAGATAATGCATGTGGTTTAAACATAGTTACAGGACAGATTAGAAGATGACTGAAATCTGAGACTACTGATTGTTGCATCCATCCGCACCTATGTACGATTTACAAGGCTGTGTCACAACAAGTTTGCGTTATACTGTGGTCTATAGGGGAGCTCACATGCATAACTCACAGCATAACTCGATATATACTGGAAACAGTCTTTACATGGCAAAGGATTAAGAGCATCGTCCAATGCTGGCCTCACGAGCATGCTTACTTTTGCTAATCATAACATTTAAACCAGGTAAGGGAATTGTTGGAGAAATCTGCATTATGTCGTTCAAACCACCCATCCCCTACAGTAGGAAAGCGTGCAGTGCACATCCAGCAAAACGTGTCGGGAGAGTTCTAAGAACACGTTGAATAATTAAGCCAGGCACCAAATGCACTACCAGGACAGCGAGCACTTCTTTGCGATGGCTTCAATCCCAACCTGCAATTGTCCAGATTCTATGGAGGACAAAATGTAAAAGTCACGTCACAAAAAAAGCAGAAACATGAAACTTTCGAATAGTGTAGAATCGAACAAGATGTCACAAGCTGAGCTTTTGCTAATATTTGAGTAGTTTTAAATGTCAGTTTTGATCTGAACCATGGTGCTTGACAGACTGAGAGAAAGCTTATTGCTACACAGCCCCAAGGCATGCTGCAAGCAGGGTGGAGAGTCAAAGATCAATTAATGTCATCGGGAAACTGGGTTTGCAGCAATCGGGCAATGGCAAAACACAGGGGGGGGGGGGCTTTGCATTTTGGGATTGAAAATCTTTTCAAGACTTCCTCGTAAAGCTTGTTTTTGTGGCATCAAGCAACAGATGCCTTCACCACCACTGACCAGATTCTCCGATGACCTATGAAGCTTAAATACGCTCTGAATCGCACAGGGAACGGTGTGGGTTGAAAAGATCACGTCCATTTTTGTATCACCCGGCCTCTTACCGGGCTGTAGCTGCAGCAATAGAAACCAACACTGCCACGTTCTGTGAGAACACTAATGAAACTCTGTCGGTTGATCTCAACGTTCTTTTACTTCTTAGATTCGTGCAAACTTTCTCCTCGAGATACTTCTTTGTTAAGGCAGTGACAGTCTGCTTGTTGGATTCTTCTGAAAACACCCGGGTGTCATTTGTGAAAATAATGGTTCAGCAACACAAAACACAAAAGCCTAGCAACACAGTAATCTCACTCATCATTCATCAGACTTCATTCCAAGGCATGCATGCCTGTTTAATTCCGTGTATGTCTTGTGTTTTTGCCGACATATTCAGACTAGTAGAGCTCTACCTATGCATGCAGAAGGTCAGATAGTCATCTGTGGTTTTTGGGAATTATGCCAAGCCTTATACATTCATTCAGAGTGTTATCATAAGCAGAAGATGTCTATTCATTTCAGGTATCTAAACAAAAGCCTTGGACATTTTTTTTTAAGTTCATGCATTGACTGCCACAGAATGAATGGATTCAAATGTTGAAAATGTGGTGATAAAAAGGAAACGCATTGAAAAGCTCAGAGAAACTGCAAAGACAACAAAATAATTCAAGATCAAACTGATTCACGACTAGTACACTGACAAATATTGTGGAACACTTTTAAAATGGTATGGGGGGGAAAACAGCACCTCATCATATATGATTTCTAGATTGAAAAGGCTGGCTTCCATTTTCACAAAACCTGCATTAACCAAGGAATCACGACTCTTTTGAGACAGATGCACCCTCTAGTGAAAATATGGGGGAGTTGCAGTCCACACCGAAACACTACCCCGAGTTTGTTACCCTAAGAGCACAAACTTTGCCATTTTCGTCCTTATTTATTTATTTTTTTGGAAAAGAAAGTTTGTTAGTAATGTGGTGCATCTAAAAGTTCTTCCATTGCTTTGTGCATTGCAGCATTGCATTCTGGGTAGTCTAAACTGGCTTTCAGCCAGGACTCCACCTGGGATCTGCAGGTTTGCAAAGTCATTAGTAAAAATGAGGACTTGTTCTGACACCTGTTCCAGTAATTTCTGAAGAGGTTAGGGTTAGGTTTTTCACATCTCCTTTACAGGGACATGACATGAGAAGTGCGGCCATTTAAATAGATAGGATATATTTAACATTTGTTTGGTTGCAGCAAACAATTGTATTTATTTTTTTCTGTCAGATGAGTTGTTAGGCATTCGATTAAAACAGAACATCTACTCATGTATATTCAATTTGCAACGCCAAACTATGTTGCCACACCTCTTTCATATATCAGGGGACTTCTGTATTCATCCTCATTTATAGGTTCTTTTGCAAGCCTCATTTCTAACAACAATTTAAACAAAAAAAGGATTTAGTTTGGTAAGTAGTTATGGGAGTCAGGGATGGTTTTGCTAATCAATGTAACATGTGTCATGTCATATTTGGAAACTATTAGAGAAACCCCAGAAGTAACCCTACTGATGTGAGAAAAGAAATATAAACTCCTGTTTGAAGATTTAAAAGAAGACCTGAAGGAATCCTGACTAAGTTTCCAAGATAGACCTGATGGTTTTGCAGAAGGCTATTAAAACTACCCACAACATCACAATCAGATATGCAAGCTATGTATGTAATTTACAGACCTCTGGATGGGATTGATCATTCATGCTCAAAACTCACAGCTCTAAAAGGTCAGCACTGGGATATTTCCTCCAAACTAACACGCATCCCTCCCTTGGAACACATCAATTAAAAACAGTGTTATCAGGGATGTGCATGCATTTATTTAAAGCAAGATGACACAAAATGATAAAGTATACTTTGAAAGGTAAAAGTCTGCTTCATGGCCGTTTCGGATTTCTGTGACCTGTTTGGAAAATCTAGATTTTGGTGATGTTTGTTTCCTTCATGCATCAACATACAGATTGGGAATATTTCTCAGAACATAGAAGTTTTTCTGCTCCTCTAAAATAAGAGGCAGGAGTTATTCATAATGAATTAGAGCAGTTAAAGAATATCCCACAAATTTGAACCTTTTTATCTGATATGCCTTTTAGAAAGTCACATTTGGACAGGCCGGCTCTGTGGAGGGCAGAATGTCAGCTGTGCGCTACGTTCCGAGCATGCCCAGTTTAGCTTCTTTAAGATGCACGCATGCGCAGTTGGTCTTACCGGTCATTCATTATAAAGCCCTAAGTTGCTCCGTCTCTTTCCACCTTCAGCCATTTTGACAATGTTAGGAGCTGTTGGACGCTGTTGCACCGGGGCTCTGCAGGCTCTGAAGCCTGGGGTCCAGCCCTTGAAAGCCCTCGTTGGATCCCCAGCTGTCCTCTCACGTAAGTCTAGCACACTTTGTGTTTTTGAGCGAAATTGTTTGAAGAAAAGATGCTAAAAAAAGACAAAGTGACAGAGGGCAGCAGCAGCGCAGACATTAGCCGGTGCTAGCAACACGCCGACTTTCCTGTCAGTGGCGCACTAGGCCTCGATGTTGAAGTTATAATTTTACATCAAGTAGGGCAATTTCAAACCATTGTGTGGTTACTGGCAGCTACGTATGCATATTTTAAGTTGTTTCATGCACCAGAAAACGAGCAGACGTTCTATTTTCACCTGCTAGCTGAAATGACCTTTGCGTAATGACATGAGGCTGCGTCAGCCTGCTAAGTTAGCATTACAGTTTGAACATTAGCAAGGTTACGCTGCACGGCACAGTCTACACAGACACGTTAGTTGGTTATTTCGAGTACCTTGGAAATAATGAGACTAATCGTTCACTGTTCCATATTTGGGCGAAGTATCAATAACATTAGCAGCATTAGCAACGTTAGCTTGAAGAACGAGCTCATTCATCGGTTCCTTCACACACCGTGCCACATTGGCAAGGAAAATGGCTTGTTACTGTTTTTAAAACTCTGCTAGTTACGCAGGGGTTTCTCCTGCATGCTGTAATTGCACGGAGAGGCTTTCGGACGATGTGAGAGACGTTTTGTGTTTTTTGACATTGAGACGTAGCGGGCATGTCTTTGCCTTTGCCAGCTAGCCTGCTATTGCTATTACAATTAAACATGACGTTGTGTATTTCTCCGCAGGCAGAGACTATGTGGCTCCAGCCGTCGCAGCCAATGTTGCCAACGGCCGCATCGTGGCTGTCATCGGTGCCGTTGTCGACGTCCAGTTCGACGAGGGCCTCCCCCCCATCCTGAATGCCCTGGAAGTGTCCGGCCGCGAGTCCAGGCTCGTCCTGGAGGTGGCCCAGCATCTCGGTAAGCATGTGTTGGATTAAATACTCTCCGTTTAAACCTCTGAAAGTCTGCTGCTGTTGTTCTCAAAACTTGATCACAGAACCGCTCCTTTGTGTTTAGGGGAGAACACAGTGCGTACCATTGCTATGGATGGTACTGAAGGTCTGGTCCGTGGACAGAAGGTTCTGGACACTGGGGCGCCCATCAGAATCCCAGTGGGCCCTGAGACCCTGGGCAGGATCATGAATGTGATTGGTGAGCCCATTGATGAGAGGGGCCCCATCTCCACCAAACAGTGAGTTATTATTTTTGAAAACTAATTTAATTTTTTTTTTTAAGCATTTAGTCCTAATTTAATTTAACATACCATTGTTATTGAGTTTGTAAATGTACACAAGCTTGCTAAGCCTTACGAGATGATGGGACAAATGTTTTGCTTACATTTCTCGTTAATTTTTAGGACTGCACCTATCCACGCTGAGGCTCCTGAATTCACTGACATGAGCGTTGAGCAGGAGATTTTGGTCACTGGCATTAAGGTGGTGGACCTGCTGGCCCCCTACGCCAAAGGAGGAAAGATTGGTAAGTCCTAAAACAAACAAAAAATGGTTGCTAGCTTTCTGCAGCAGGATAATGGTACATTAACCTAATTTCCTCATCTCTACAGGTCTGTTTGGTGGTGCTGGTGTGGGTAAGACTGTGTTGATCATGGAGCTGATTAACAACGTGGCCAAGGCCCATGGTGGTTACTCTGTGTTTGCTGGTGTTGGAGAGCGCACCCGTGAGGGAAATGACTTGTACCATGAGATGATTGAGTCTGGTGTCATCAACCTGAAAGACACCACCTCCAAGGTGAGACGAGTTGAAATCTGCTCAGAAGGCAACTAATGATAATAAAAAAAAATGAAACAATTTCCACCTCCATTTCACGTCACGTTGCTTTGTACATTTTTAAAAAATAAATAAATTATTTTTGTAATTTTAGGTGGCGCTGGTGTACGGACAGATGAACGAGCCCCCCGGCGCCCGTGCCAGAGTGGCCCTGACTGGGCTGACTGTGGCAGAGTACTTCCGTGACCAGGAGGGTCAGGATGTGCTGCTCTTTATCGACAACATCTTCCGCTTCACACAGGCTGGCTCTGAGGTCAGGACAGAACATTAACTTCATTTCATTTAGGAAGTTAATGTCAAGTCTAAGGCTGCTAATTTTTATTATATTTATTTTTTGCTCACCACCTCTCAGGTGTCTGCCCTTCTGGGTCGTATCCCCTCTGCTGTGGGTTACCAGCCCACTCTGGCCACCGACATGGGTACCATGCAGGAGAGAATCACCACCACCAAGAAGGGTTCAATCACATCTGTGCAGGTATGTGACACCGTCTCCCCGAGTTGCATTTCCAAATGCAAACATAATGGCTGCTCTTGGATGGGTAATGGCTGTAATAGACTTAAGACTGAAAAGTTGCGCATCTGAACGAGTCCATTTTCTCTCCAGGCCATTTATGTGCCCGCTGACGATTTGACTGACCCTGCCCCGGCCACCACTTTCGCTCACTTGGATGCCACCACTGTGCTGTCCCGTGCCATCGCCGAGTTGGGAATCTACCCCGCTGTGGACCCTCTGGACTCCACCTCCCGTATCATGGACCCCAACATTGTTGGATCTGAGCACTACGATGTCGCCCGTGGTGTGCAGAAAATCCTCCAGGTTGGGAAATGAATTATTTATTTTTTGTTTGTCTTCCTCAGCGTTATCAGCCAACCCAGGCTAACTAGTTTGTTTTTGTGCTTGTAGGACTACAAATCCCTTCAGGACATCATTGCCATTCTGGGTATGGATGAGTTGTCTGAGGAGGACAAGCTTACTGTGGCCCGTGCCCGCAAGATCCAGCGTTTCCTGTCCCAGCCCTTCCAGGTGGCTGAGGTCTTCACTGGCCACATGGGCAAACTGGTGCCCCTCAAAGAAACCATCAAGGGCTTCCAGAGCATCCTTGGGGGTGAGTTTTTTTGTTTGTTTTGGGGGGGGGGTAATTTGCTATCGATAACTTTAAATGCCCATTTTGTAATAAAACATTCTGCGCACGTTTGCCTCTTTAGGAGAGTACGATGCTCTGCCTGAGCAGGCTTTCTACATGGTCGGCCCCATTGAGGAGGTGATTCAGAAGGCTGAGAAGCTGGCTGAGGAGCACTCATAAACATCTGAACAATCTGTTTAACTGTTTAGCTGAGGAGAGGAAAAACAAGAGTGGGTGCTGTGGTTTGGAGCACTTGGTTTGTAAAACATGTCAAAATACAAATGTACCTGTCTTGTCATCCTGAAAAAGAAAGTTCTATTTAATGTTTTCCATGAAAGATGGAATAAAGCACCGTCTTTACACAAACCCACTTGTCAACTGTATATTTCCCATTGATAGTTGAGAACTGCATTCCGAGTGAGAGGAGTTCATTCAGCGGTTGTCTTTGCCTAATCTGACCACAAGATGGCATTCTTGAGCCATATGGAGCTTTCTAAGTTGTGTTGCAGCTTGTCACATTCTGAAATAAAATGGTGGACAATATTGAATGCCTCTTTGTGTCCAACTTTAAACGGACTTCACTTCTTATTCTGTAGAATAGCTCACAAATCTCAGTGATCCGTATGACACCACTCCAATAAATAAATAAAAATTCCCCCACACCTGGTAAAGACCTGTGTGATGCATACGGAGCACTGTGGACTGGCAACCTGTCCATACCCGAGAAGAGCTGGGATAAGATCCACCCTTGCACCCCTTGTTCATTAGATTAGTTGTATAAAATTGATCATTATTTCTTTCAACTGAGCTTTTGGTATAAAGACACTCTTGTAGCAGCATTTCTATACAAGTCGATGAACAGGCTGCCATTAATGGCAAAATATATCGATTTATGTGCAGTTGTATGTCTTGAAATTGTATTTCAACGTGTATGTCTTCAACAGCAAAATGCTCAAACCCTGTTGTATGTGTACTTTGGAATCCAATCTTAAGGTAAGGTGTTTATCAGTACTCCTTAACCTTCACCACGGGCCTATCATCCCATCAGATAATGTGGCCTTGAGTGTGTTTGTCAGATGAAGTTGTGTGTGAGTCTGAATGGAAGACGGAAACCAGCGAATGATTTAAAAACTGTATTGTCCCCTGATATATGAAGGACCAGATCTCATTGGATCTTTTTGGCAATTGGGATGGCCCCCTTTAGGATGAGGGAGTCGGTGACGCAGGTGGGCATGTAGGACAGCGGCAGCCAGAAGAGCTTGGCGTCCCAGCCCGGGGAGTAGCGCTTGCGGGGCCACACGGCCGACACGGCGTGCTCCATGCAGTGGACCACCTTCATCAGGTCTCCGTCGCTCATCTTGGGGACTTTGTCTCTCACCTCCGCTATCGCTGGGTGGGGGAAATAAGGGTGTTGGGAAGAAAATAGACAAACGGAACGTGTGCACCGCGTGGGCCGCGCTTACCCTTTTGAAGATACTCAGTCCCGTAGTCATCTCTGACCTCCTGGGGAAGCCTCTCCCACAGCATGGTCACGCTTTTAGTGTGGACGCCACTGTCGGTCACGTTGGTTTTGAAGAAGCCGGGCTCGATGCAGAGGACCTTGACCCCGAAAGGAGCCATTCCTAACCTTCAAAGGACATTCTGTCAGGGCTCGGGCACAATCTAAGAAATCCTTGTGTCGACGCGCTGACAGATAACGGACGTGCGAGTTAATGTTTCACCTGAGGCTGTCGTTGAAGGCCTCCACGCCGTACTTTGAGACGCAGTAGGGCCCGCCGGTGATGCTGATCCTCCCGAACACGCTGGCTACGTTCACCACTCGTCCTCTGGCCTTCTTTATCAGCGGCAGGACGCTCAGGGTCACCCCGATCACTCCGTTCAGGTTCACGTCCAGCATGGACTTGTAGTCGTCTACGGTGTGCCAGTCGCAGGGGCCGGAGGGAACGGCCACGCCGGCATTGTTCACAACAGCCCAGAGACCTGAAAGACCACGCGGAAAAGTATCTACATCACACTGAAGATCGCAAGCATGCCATCCATAATGAAAACACCACTTTGCAAAGACTTAGAAAAAGAAGGCCAACATGTGCTGTAACTGTGACCAGAGAGAGCTGACCATTGGCCAGCATTTACCCATCTACGGTTGGGAAAACTTCATAATATGACCTCATTTACAGCCAGTAACTTGAGTGAAATGTACAAGTTGGTATTCTAAAAGGACTGTTAAAGATATAGGGACATGGGTTCTTATCTCACCTTGCTCGCCCACTTTGTCCTTAATAACGGCTGCCACTTTAGAAACGCTGTCCTTGGAGGTAACGTCCAGGTGTGCCGTGGTCAGACTGCTGGAGCAGGATTTTCTCAGATCTTCCTCGCCTTTCTCCGTGAAACATGCCGCGATCACTCGGAACCCCTGCTGGTCCAGGTGCCGGGCCAGGAGGTTGCCGAAGCCGCTGTCGCAGCCCGTGATGTACACGTGCTTCTTCCCCTTGTCCGGCACCCTGGGCATCTCCCTGACCCAGCGGAACAGGTAGTAGAGAACAACCGAGCCCAGGAGGTAGATGAACATGTCTGGAACGAGAAAATGTCTTACTTAAACGTACTTTTTGCACCCCAGGAGAAGAACGCGAGGCCTTCAAGTGACCCTACGGCCTGTACCAGAGGAGAGCTCTGCCCCCCCCCACAGCCTCACAGGTCAGTCTCATACCCCCCCGATTCAAGAAAAAATGATGTATTTGTTTTTACATCAGATCAGGTGGACTTGTGTCCTTCTTCTTTAGAAAGGCTCCTTTAACAGGAACGCAAGTCCTACTAAGACGGGAAATGTAAGCTCTATTTCAAAATGTATTTCAGTAAGGAACTTTGTTTGTGAAATGTCCTGTAGTGTGTGGATACAAATGAGATTTTACTGATCTCACTTTCCGAGAGACTCCTGCTTGTAAAGTTACAAATGTCTTTTTTCTACGTTCTGTGTCGCCAAAGATTTTTAAAATGTTCTTCTTTACTTGTTTTTCCATAACTCAAAACTGTCAACAAGAGAAAAAGTGTAAAATTATTAAATTTGTAGGCTAAAATCTTATATCTTCAAAAATACTACAAGCATAATAATAAGCACAAGCATCATTTTCCACTTGGTAAAGACTGTAGACGGGATAAGTTGTGAATGGTTGTGAAACCTCATAAACCTCACACAGTCCCATTCGGCCCAGTTTTGACTTTTCCTTTTTTTTTTAATCCAGCTTAAACGCTTTTAGGAAAACAGTTGACTTTAGGCATTGAACACACAAACAAGACACCCTTATAATGATGATGTGACATGAAGAAATGCGCCCATACAGGTAGGAGAGGCCCTCACCAGGCTGTTATTTTGGATGTTAAAAGAACAGTGACTGGTTAAAAAATACCAAAAAAAAAACAAACCACCTAAATTTGTATTGACAGGGTGTCTGAAAGACAAAAAGTCAGAGTGTAGCTGCAGCTCTGCTCATTTCCCCTCCCCCCCCGCCCCTTCCACTTCCTGACACCTGGGCCTCCAGGTGAGCTGACTTCTCCTAACGAGCCGTGTGGACACACGCGGGCTCACACACTTCACCTGAACCACCGCTGCTCTCCAGCTTCACAGTTTGGTATGGAATGACAAAGTTTGCTGAACTAAACTCTTTTTGTTATGTGTCCTCTGTGGAGTACCGACATCAAAGCGTCGGCCGCAGAAATGAAGGCAGCGTTTGGTCTGCTTGCAGGACTGAAGCACTCTGCATGTTCATTTCTAGCCTCCTCGGCTGTTACCTCGGTCAATACTTCTCCAACTCGCTGATTGTTGATGATTCATGGGGTTAGTAGGTATAGCTCCAAATCAAATGGTTTTTCAGCATTAAAAAAATGTTTTTATTACATATACCCATAATGAGTTGATAACTTAATTTAGTAAGTTGGTCTAAAATAAAGAAAATAGTCTTAACTCAATAATGAATAGATTTTTAACAGACATTTCAACCTTAACTTAACTTAGAAGTAAGTTAAGTTTTTAAGTTGGTACAACTTAAGAATCTTTGAAGTGTCCATTAAAAGCTGAGTACAAGGCTGACCTGCCTGGACTTGGTTTGCTGTCAGACCATGCCTTTTGGAGGGAAAGGAGCCAAGCACAGACGAGGATTTTAAGACTTGGTGAGTATAATGTTTTGACTTGTTTTATTCAGCTAACTTTAGCTAATAACTCCATCAGCACACAGTACAATTTAGAATGCTTTTTTTGTTTTTGCTAACCTTAAGTAAAATTTAAGATAGAAATGTTAGACTTTTAGCTAATTGGCGCTGTAATTCAGCCATAACTTTAGTCTTTAAGTTTTGTTTTATGGTGAAATCTGAACTTTATAGCATTAGTTTTAACTTTGCGACGATAAAACGATAACCATTTTGCCTCTTTCAAATTTTAAATTGTTGTAGTGTTAGTGAAGTTTTGACCAGCAAAAGTTGTGGGGTCATCGTAGGTTATCATGCAAAGCTACGGTGTGCTCTTCAAGACACAGCAGCAGCAAGTTCAGTGTAAAAAGGAAGCAAATGTAGCAGATGCAAACGGCACAGAAGTGGTGTTAACGTTAAGATAGTTGTGCGTGTGTACTTGCCTAATGCCCATTTCTTTGTAATAGGCTAGTTTTCAAGCCTTTGATTCTCTTGTTTTTCATAATTTCATCAAATGATGTAATTTTGATGTTATGATCAACAATCCATCTTCCTAGAGGAGTTCAACACTCTTTTTCTTATTCACATGACAATTCTGTGGAGACACAGAAGGAGGCTGCCATCTGTGGCTTAATGGTGTACCTCAGGAAAAGGAGGGGCAATTCTTCAGAGGTAAATCAGACACCACTATACTTCACATAGAGATATATTGTTTTCCTGTTGTAAAAAGGTATTTACAACATTTACCGCTCAGCGGTAACCGCTGTGTTACCTTCCTAATGAGAGGCGGCACTTGTCATACATTTGTAAAAAGAAAAAAAAATGGTTGTGCACCGCTCCGTAGTGCCTCGTTTATTATATTAGCCATGCTAGTGCTGATAGATGTGTTTTAGACAGATTTTTTTAACATATGTTTTAGTGCACATGCTGCCCTGTAATGTTTTATTCACTTGGCCAAGATATATTTCTCAGCTCTTGAAATGTGTGTGCTAAGAATATGTGAAAAACCATTAAGTTTTATAATGACTGAAATGTAAGTAGGCTATGTCTTACGAAAGCTTAGAATTATAACCTAACTAGTTATGTTAATTAATTTGATTAATCTATTTCTAATTTAGTATTATTTTAGCTAGCTACAGAAAACTATAGTTTAAATAATAGTTAAAATAATGTCTCTGCCAAACAGTCATGGTGTCTAAATACCAGGCAGCCTTATTTTGTGTAGAGCCCAAATAAAAAAGAGGAATATCTCCCAGTTCTTCTTAAAGAGGGAAAAACCAAGACCAGACAAAACCCTTTAGCAGTGAGCGGTAGAAGCCAGCCAGGAGACACCAGGCCCAAGTGTATCACCAGCAGGTTAGAGGCTGTGACAGAGAGTTAAGTAGTAAAATCCAATAAGCCTAATTCTAATGGTTGGCATGATGCTTTTTGCATTTTTTATTGTGTCTGTTTATGCGTTTCACAATTAAGTTCCAGAGAGAAATGAGGGTGATATAGATTTAGAGTCAGACTCTGGGGAGGAAGACGGTGAAGCAGAAGGAAATGGCACTGAACCCCCCCCCCCCCAGCACAACCTATTGCACACCAAAAGGACCAGTTGGCAGGCACACACTACCCATGTTATGCTACAGAAACTGAACTAATTACAACTTGACTTATTGAGATATCTGCCCAAAAATACTCTTAAAATACTGAAAATATTTGTTTCTTTTCGTTCATCATTTGTAAAAAGTCTAGCTCTGCCACTGCTACAAGCCCTTTAACCCTTTAATTCTGACCTACTAGGATGGAGACGGGGACAGTACGGACCAACTGATGAAGATTGTGACAACACGAGGCGGCTCGGATCCAGCCCATGCAAGGATCATCACAGAGGTCTTGACAGGTGTGAATATTCCCAGAGCCTGTGCCTTGCTCATGGGGCTCATATATGCACTTAACCTCAGTTAACCAAAAGTTAACCACAGTTTTGTGCTATTAAAATGTCAATATGAACTTGAATAAACTGTTCATAAAACTGGAATTGTGTAATTTATTCTAAGATAAATAACTTGATATGATTAAAAAAAAAAGGTAACAATTTGCATAGACAATAAAAGGAGTCAATTTTACACAAAGAAAATTAAGTTGGTTCAACTTAATTAAGCTTGTAAAGGACAAAGAAAATCCTGTTGCTTGTGCTAAAGTAAATTAGTTTGTCTAATCAGATAAACCTTGTGGGACTGACTCAATTATGACTAAGTTGAAATAACTTTAAAAAAATCAATGCAATGTTGAGCCAACATTCTTTTTTTAGAGTGTACAGACGCCTTCGAGGCGTCTTTGGAGCAAGTTTGCCACCAAACGGACGCGTAGACGTGGAGGCTTTGAAAGGGGAGTATTCTGCTCCGTCACCGGGGGGGGTTTGATGATGTTGGAAGGCTTTCTTGGGCTAACGCTGAGGAAACGGGGTTTTTGGGCTCCGTTTTGGGGCTGACCGGTAAGAGGCGGCCGCCCCTCGGCCCGTTGCCATGGCAGGAAGAGCAGCTGATGCGGCGATGACAGAGATTTACTTCTCCACCTCTGTCACTTCGCTTAGGTGCTCCCACTGATCAATGTAGGGGATGGGAGGGGGGGGGGGGTACTATCACAAAGCCTGATGGAGCATTAGCATGTGATGATCAGTCCAGGCTTTCTTATGCTGCTGTGCTTTTTCATATCATTTTTTTTATCCATCAATCTATTCATGAGTGATGCTGCACGGTTTTTTCCGCTGCCACGCGGGTTCCTGGTCTTTGTGAAAAAACGGGTCAGGAGGGCGTTTGTCGGGGCTCGGGGCCTCGCACTCTTTAGCCTTTTTTTATTTTTCCCCCGCAGTGCCGCTAAGTGACCTTTTACGGCACCTCGGTCCTTATTCTGTCATCCTGTCGATCCACTGTAATCCCAGATTAAGCGTGGGAGATTATAAATTGATATATAAGATTAGGTTTTTTTATTTTTTTTTTGTAATGTGCAGTTGGGAAGCGACACCTGGGGAGCTGCCAGCACAGTGAGCCTCCCGGTGATCTATTTTCCTTCTTTGTTTGCTTTGTGCAGCCAAGGTTTTGTAATGGGAGCACCCCCAAAAAAAGGTCACGTTGCAAAAGAGATGAAAGGAATCCACCGAAAAGGAGGGCCGTCCAAAAGGAATGGGCCGTAATGACATTGGATTCTTTGGCACTTTTGGAGGGTGTGTGCTGAAAAGGTGGCTGCTTGAATCATTTGTACATCCAGTAACTATTACGGTTTTGGAGAAAAATGTCATTGTTGATACTAGTTAATTTCTTGGGAAAAAAGTTGTTTGGAATGTCATCTCATACATCCTCAGTGTAATAAGTTTTTAAAAAAAAAGTTGGTCATATACCCATATTTTAATT